TACAGGTAAAATGCTAGCTGTTCACCCGCGTTATTGTCTGCTTTTTAAGATAAAATATAGCACATGTCCATCATTATTTTAATCTATGTTCATTTCAAATTTTATTAAATTTATTCATGCTTTTAGTCAAAGAATTTATAATACAATATTCGTTAAGAATACTAAATATTTTTAGAAAAGGAAATATTCTAAACTAGATTTTAGTAGTCTATTAATAAAGCGTTACAAATGTTTTCTAAGAATGGAATGACCTTTTGCAGTGGACATCACGGCAGTGGCAATTTACACTTATTGTGCAAGTTTTTGTTAGTGCTACACTGTTGTTGTAAAAAGTTGTTTATGTTCATCCTAATATATTTTGTACACTATAAATATTTATACAGAGTTAAGTATTAAAGGACATAGCAATATGAAAGTCATAACAGGAGTAAGAAAATATATAAACTTAAATATATTTACATTAAAAATATGAATATAAGAAAATAAATTAATAACTTTTGTTTTACATATGACAGTTAATATAACTGTTTAAATATTTAAGATATATATATAATTACCGTTTTATTTTACTAGCATTTATAATACAAGGCATCACGCGTATAGATACAAAGAAAGCCTGATAAGTAATATAAATTGTAAAGATACATGCACGCATATAAAAGACATCAACGCGTCACTCTTTATTTCAAAGTCAAATCGAGAGCGTATTAGGTCAGCGGTTAACTACAGAGTTCTTTATGATCTCTATATTTCTGACTGATTCCCCGATAATAGAAACACCCATATCAAACCAAATTAATCCAAGAGACAGCGACTAACGCGTTCTCTATATACCCAACGAAGTGAAGGCATGTCATTTGTTGAATCTATTAATACATGAACTCGTCTCCAACTGCCAAAAACTATATAGATGTTATCTTTTGTAAATCTCAGTACTATCTTTTAAGATAAATAAAAACATTTAATTAACGTCTTTATTACTAGTACCAGTAGGGGTAACAATACATTTTGTATACAATGAACTTTAATTTGCATTTAGCAAAACAAATGTATGTATGTGTGTACAATATTGATATAAAAATAAATAACCTTGCATATCTGTAATTAGCTACCTTTCACAAAAACTGTCTACATATATCAGATGTGACAATTACTAAATAATGAACTGAACTTTTAACATGTCGACACGTGATCTCATTCCAGTACATTGTAATTATAATTCTTGTATAACGATACAACATGTTTAACATTACTCGAACACGCCCAGGCCGGGACTTGCGACTGACTTGGATATTTATTAATTTATCGACACTGCAATGAAAAACAACAACAAAAACATGCAGGTTGACTGCGATTATTAAAGTCATTAAAATGACAAGTGGATATTTATTGATGTTCGGCGATCAATAGACTTAGACATTTAGTCACGCTTTATTTTATTAGGTATCAAAACCTTTTTTTTTATTTTTAATATTTAATACATATCGTTTAAATAATACGATTATAGAAATATGGACCTTACCAGCATATTAAAATTTCTCACTATAACATTATTACAAAAGCTGCGAAAAAATGTAAAAAGAGATTCTAGAATTTTTATTTACATAAAGGCAAATTGATTTTGAATAAAAAAATGTAATCTCGACTAAGATTTAATTGTAAAAACTCGATTCTACCACATCCCTATTTATATGGGACTAAAAACCTGCAACACTGGAAATTTCATTTTACTGACTGGAATTAATAATCTTACTTTACTGTAGAATTTGTATGCTACTAATCTACCGTAGAATTTTCAACCTATTTATTATGTACTAATTTCTCAGACATTATAAATATTATTTATTGTACAAATAATACATAGATACTATAAATTTAGCCACAGTTTGAGCAAAGGTAGATTTATCCCTAGAAGAGATCTCTTCCAGTCAACATAAAACAGTGGCATAGGTGTTACTGAGTGGGTAATAACTGGTGCAAAAAAAATCTTTACCGCCATCTAGTCCCACGATGAGCAGAGCTTGTATGGGTACTAGACAGCTGATAAATATATGTACTTAAATACTTTTTAAGTAATAAGATAAAATTACCCGTGGCGACAGTTTTCATATTTTGTTAACGACGTACCATCAGATGAACCGTCTGTGTGTACCTATGTGTTGGCCATGATAAAGACAAGTACTTTGTTATTTATATATATATCTATATATATATTTATTTATTTCAAAATTTACATAGCAGTACAATATAACTGTTATACAGTTAACATATCCTCGAGCCTGTATCGCAGGAATTCACAAAAAGATGTCCAGACAATATTAACGGTTACAGATCAGATTTTCAAACATGACTCATTTTACAATATTATAAATGCGAAAGTTTGAAAGTATGTATGGATGAATGTTTGTTACTCTTATACGTAAAAACTACTGAACGGATTTTGATGAAATTTTACAGTAATAAAGCGTATATTTATAACAACATAATAAATTATATTTAAAAAGATATTGTGTAAATTGGGCGAAATGTCAAGTAAATGTGACACAGACGAAGTTGCGTGTGTCAGCTAGTCATTTCATATAGCAACAAACTACTTCTTGCACCTTAAAATTCTAGTTTCCATAAGTAAGTTCATATCATAAGATTTAATGTAACACTTACATCATATGGTGTTTTATGTAGTTAAGGCTGCAGCCTGATGCATCTCGTTGCGCTACTTGCTACCAGTTCCACTGATTTAAATGAGCCGCAGTGCTATATCAATTATATTACACAACTGCCCAGCGCATGCCGTTCATTTCGGAGAAATTCCCGCCATTATGTAACGTACGAACGCCATTTTATCTTTATAATTTTTATCGAAATGTCAGTATTGCAAATATTGTAGGTTAAATAATAATTAAAGACTTTTATATGTATACATACAATACGAGATATGAATATGATGTTTTCTTTTTATGAAATTGCATTTAAAAACAAAACCATAGTCTGTATATTATCTATGTATGATTGCACTGATGAACGTGACATATTCTGAGGTATAAACAGAAGGTTTATAGGCATAACATAATACTTTAAGTCCAGGTCATGTGTAAAATATTGTTTTAGGCGACAAGGCAACCTTTTATTGAACATATTTGTGCAAAGTGTTCTTTTTGTTCTATTTTTTTCTAGTACACACAATAAAGAGTTTTGTTACTGTGACATGGAAACTTTCATCTGTTGTCAATCTCGAGGACTAGTTCATTGCTACTGAAAACCTCGTGAGACTCTCTCATTATAAAATTACAGGTGAAAGCTATAACTACATGATAAGAAACTTTCGTAAACTTCATAAATAAAATAAAATTAGTATATATTCTGCTTAAATGATATTATTAAATAACAACTGTGAACGTCATAAATAGAGTGATTTAATTGTAAACTAACCTGTACTGTTGTTTTATTTATACATTCATTTAAAATAGAAACATGTGTACCAATTTACTGAAGAAACAATGACATTCACAAAAGTATAAAACTGTGTTGCGAATATCGACGCTCTCCATCAAGTTTATATAATTCCGTAATATAGAATGCTGACGTATTATTTTTTATTATTAGAACTTACTTTAATGATAACGGAACCGAACTAGTATGATTTGCGAGAATGTATTCAACAATTATAATTAACAAAATAAACAATATAATAGGATGATGTATCTAGGCTTTTCATAGACTCAAATCGGAAACACTTAATTTAATGATAATGAAAACGATCTAGTACGATTTGCGAGAATTTATTCAATAATTGCAATAAATCAAATAAATAATATTAATATGATTATGTAGGGCTTTTCATAGGCTCCAATCGACAAAACTTAATTTAATGATAATGAAAACGATCTAGTACGATTTGCGTGAATGTTTTCAACAATTGCAATTGACAAAATAAATAATATTAATAAGATTATGTAGGCTTTTCACAGACTCCACTCGACTGAATTTATTTTAATGATAACGGAACCGACCTAAGTATGATCGCGAGAATGTACCTATTTAACACTTGAAATTAACAAAATAAATAATATTAATAAGATTATATAGACTTTTAATAGATTCTAATCGAAAGAACTTACTTTAATGATAACGGAACTGACCTAGTATTATTTGCGACAATATATCAATACTCGAAATTAACAAAGTACATAATATTAATAGGATTATGTAGACTTTTAATAGATTCTAATCGACAGAACTTACTTTAATGATAACGAAACCGACCTAGTATTATTTGCGACAATATATCAATACTCGAAATTAACAAAGTACATAATATTAATAGGATTATGTAGACTTTTAATAGGTTCTAATCGACAGAACTTACTTTAATGATAACGGAACCGACCTAAGTATGATTTGCGAAAATGAATTCAACACTCTCAATTGTGAAGAATATTTGTAATCATATTGCTAATGGCGGTAATATGAGGTAACCGTATATAAAAGCAATGAGGTGCACACGAATTTATTTATAAGCTGCAAGCAGCAGAATTGTATAATAAAACACATAACATACAATACTACTAGCTGTACCATATAATACGGCTTCGTCCGTGTGGAATAAAGACCTTGTATAGCATTTTACCCCTTAAGGGTAATTAAAAAAAAAACTCTGAATGTCATATTTATTTATATTTAATCAACAGACTAAAAAATAAATTTCATGCTAGCTTAAAATGACATATTATAACCTTTTTTCTCCCCTTTCAACCCCTTAGTACTAACTAAGGTACATAATAATGCAAAAAAGGGTTGCTTTTTCATATTAAAAAGTATCCTACGTCCTTTCTAGACGGTGTACCAAATTTCATTTAAATCGGTTTAGTAGTTTTGGCGTGAAAGTACGACAGGTAGACTGATAGAGTTAATTCCGCATTTATAATCTTAGTACGGATTATTACGATTGAGTTACTGTACTTAGAAATAATTAATATAAATTTAAATTTTGCTTGTTCCAGGTGGCGGTTTCTCATAGGTTTCCTGTTGCTAGGCGTTGTATTCGCCGCAGAAGATGATGACGGCGTGCCTGATGCAGGTGTTGATGCTGATGATGATGATCTAGCCCTGGACCAAGAGGTATATATTATATATTTAATATATATTTCAATTTACAAAGTTGTAGGTATCTACAACTCATATATTTTAGTTCTTTTTGAAAGTTGTGATTCGGTTGTTGGAGTTTGAGAGATATATCTAAACTTAAACTAAAGCAATATATTTTAGTCCTTAGAAATGGCCAACCATGGCAGATATCACGGGCGTCACAAAATATTTGGTTATTCCCATGGTACTGATCATTTAGATACATATGTAGGCGACAGTTGCCTCTTTCCATCAACTTCCAATTAAGTAGGTGATGATGATGTAATCCCGACCAATTTTAGGCACGGCGATTGTCATCAACTCCGATTTTGCCGTTGATATGCTCGCATGTGGCTTATGTAGCCAATTAAATAGGTACACAATAATTCAACAATAATATTTAAATCCACTAAATTGCATAGTTAATAATATAAATAGTAGAAAACTTTCCTTAAAAAATCGATCACGTCTCAAAACTTTTGTACATAAATAAAAACGTTTGGTTCCCGCCAAAATCAATGACGCACGTCGTAATCGAAAACGAAATCAAACCGATCAACTAGATGCAATTTTTCTACACAATTTGGTGTCAATGGCCGTGAGCAAGGCCGTCAAGAGTGAAAGTTGAAAGTAAGTCATATTTTTACCATAGACAAGTAAGTATTCTATTTTATTCCTTTTTTGAAAGTTTATAGCGCCATATTTACATTGTTGGCGGGAAAGGCAAAGGTTAATTTTGTTTCTACACTAATTAGTTGCATAAGCATGAATATTAATTATTATTTAATGGAATAGATATCACGTTTGGGAAATTACAAACGGAAGGGATTGGAATAGAAATTAAATAAAACCACGCATTATGTTAAATCAGATATTATATGTAGGAACTTTTAGAGAACTGAGAACTATCAACGTCTCGTGTATACTGTCCATTCATACTCGTATCTGTAGGCACAGTTACACTTACTATCAAATGAGCTTGTTTTTCTTTCCAGTTGCACAAAATTATACAATTGGTAGAAATTATTATACACGCAATTATTGTAATAGCTTCTGTCTACAGCTTCAACGGCGTGACTATAATTTCATGACGATTTGTAAAAGAGTAAATTAAGATTTTTTGCATTTGTACCTATAAGAATTGAAAAGAATATAAAATCTTTTATTGATCTGGCTGGTATCAGATTAATTGGTATCGCATTAGTTGATTGTATATATTACCATTTTTGTTATTTAGTTTAGGTATGTAATATTATGTTATCTGTGGTATAGGTATGCAATATTATCTTATTTGCAGTATAGGTACAATGCGATTGTCACCGGTCGACACATTTTGAGTTCGAAAATTAAAAAAAAAACACAACAACGAGTATAAATACCGTTATTCAAATAAACTTACATTTAAGCCTACTTTATTCGACCGCTCATTCGGAATAAAGTCTTAGCACAAGAAGAACGAGCAAGAAATTTGCGTGTCGCTCTAATTTTAGTTAGGATAATTAAATTGTTCCGATTTCTGTTATTTATAAATACTAATAAAATATACAAACAAAGTCAACAATAGCGATTCAAAATAACATTAAGTAATCAAGTTGCAATTAATTTCATAAGCAAAACCAAGCTGACCAATAGTGCATTTGTTATATTATTAAGTATCGTAATATTTGAACACGTTTTTTATATTTTACGTAAGAAAGTTTCAAAAGAGACTTAGAAAGTTAAGCCTAAATTTAAACAAGGGTTTTTTATATGGATGACAATGGAATAGTACACCCGCCTACCTTAGCGGATTACGCTGGCAGGGCACCAGTGGAGGATGATAAGATGAGTATGAACTCTCAGCATCTCCAGCATATGTAATTGTATTTTTTCAAAAGAAATAATTTTGTCATAAATAAGTTTCATTTATTTGTAGTACTGATCGCCTTATGACCTTTATGATCGAAATTCGACCATAATTAATTCAAATTAAGTATAAATTTGAACATTAATATTCCATTGTCAAATTTCTTCTATGCGTATGTGTGTCAAAAACATGGTAATGTGTGTAATGTTTTTTCTTGATTTATTGTATTTTTTATGCATACGCGCAATTTTCTGAATAGAGAGTACAAAGCTTCACGTATTATTATAATGACATACATATGTTTTGTATTGTAGGAAACTCGCAACTTACGGCCGCGTGCGTACACCCCGACCGCTTACAATGCGTTGCCGAGTGGCTTCAGACCGACTCCTTCGCTGGCCGAGCTGGCGGGCTACCAGCAGCGTCCGCAACAGGAGCAGCAGGAGTACGTGGCGCTGGTGCCGGCGAGGCCGGCCCAACAGCAATATGTCGAGGAGCAACGGCCTATTAGACCACACAGAAAGGTAATTGCCCTCTATTATATGAGTGACCCTTATTCTGCGTGTATACCCATATACCCAAGTATCTCGGAATAAATTAAAAAATACTAATAATTCTTAGTAAAAGGACACCATTACTAATTTTTTTTAGAATGTTTGGGCTATGTCAGTTTCTTGGACCTGTAGCACTGCGTTTTACATAGATCTATTGCGCTTGACCTTTTTCAATGTTCGCTACCTAGACCCGTCAGAGACAAGAATTGAGCGATATCTTAGGAGCAATGGTTTTTATCTCCTATACTCATGATGGTGATGCTGAGAATGGTAATGTGTTAAACCGCTAGACCACCTATGATTATAACAACGACAAATTTCTTTCCATCGGAAAAAACTTTTTTTTTTTGTTTGTATCTTGAAACTTTGTTTTAAAACTAAATATATATACACTTATCTAAAATCTATTGATAACTAAAACTAAGAGTAAATAACAATGAACCTGCACAATTCACAACCTAAGCAGACCTTGAATTATGGGTAAAACTACTGACACAAATATTGAAATATATTTTTATATAAACATCATATAGATAGACAACATCAAGACACAATCATATTCCCAATTACAAATGCTATAAATAAACAAAAAAGTCGTTAATAAACGATTAAAATGTCCTACATAAATAAATTATTTTTGGTTTGTACCATACGAAGAATCTAACCTGCGATCACAGCATGTAAAGTCGCTAAAATTGCTGCAAGTAGGCGAATATAGTCTATGTTAGAATTGCAACTAGATGCTAAGTGAATTGTAATTTCCTTTACGTCCCAATAGTAAGGTTAGGTATTAAGAGAAAGCTTTAAACAAATTTAGATTACCTACATCATTTGCTAAATAATCTTCAGTGACTGGCAGTACTTTCACACGTCTCTGCGTAGATACATCACTATTACTTTAATTCGGTAGCGCAGAAATTGCACATCCATGGTAATACGAAAGTAATTCTGTTTATCTGTTTCCTTATCACGCCTAAACCTTTAAAACTCTTCTGACTTATTTTTTTAGAGAAATAGATTAAGAATTGGCGTTGTACATATATAAGCTGGTTTAAATGACTACAATAAAACTTGAAGAGGGTGATGAAACTAACATTGATTTCGTGTTATAATTGGAAAACAATTTTATAGTCACTTTACGTTATAAAAAAACTTAAAAAAAAAACTATTCGATGTATGTACTGATTTAAGATTTAAGCAAAGTGTTAGCCATCGGCTAATAGTGTAACTATGTATGTACAATTCGGTTACGTTCAAAATTGCAATAATTAATAATTATAGTGTGATTCAGAGATTTTCGTAATTACAAATCATGAGTGGTAATGTAGAACGCAAAAGTAGGTGTATAGTGTTTCGGTACTTTCAGTAGCTATATGAACTGTCTTTACACGTACGCTCTTTCTTGCGTTTCGCGAATCGTCTATCGCGCAAGAAAGAATGTGCATGTAAACGTAGACAAAGAGAATGAGGACCACCTCGGCTGCCGGCTCGCGCTATCCCGCGTTCTTCAATCGTATGTGCTTTAGCCCCTTTTTGTATTAAAATTTATAATTGCAAAATAGCGAACATCTGTCTATGGAGCAATGACGTAATTATAGTTATTAGCTGTGCTCGCGGTTTCGCCTGCGTGAAATTTATAACCTATAGATATGTTATTCTGATGTAATATAGCTTATTACTGTAAAGTTTCATAAAAATCCGTTCAACAGTTTTTGTGTGAAAGTGTAACAAACATCCATCCATACTCACAAACTTTCGCGTTCATAATATTAATAAGGTAAGATTGATAATATATAAATTTTTAAAATATCTGTGGAAAATACAATCTGTGGAATAAAAAATATATTTTTAATAGTGAAATGACATGATACGCTATATCACGCGCGAAAGAGTGAAATAGTAAAATACAATCACTCACTTTGGCTCGGCTTTTTCACTTCACTTTTTTTGGCTTCACTTCGACTCACTCACTCGGCTTTGCCGCGCTGAATCTCGCGAATCGCACGTGAAAGAACGTATCGTGTAAAGGTAGCTAAATTGAAAATTTAAAATTTACATAATCTAAATACTATACATTCATTTTTCATTCACTGACAATTCCTATAATTTATTTATTATGTAGGTGTAGATAAGTAATTTAATTATCTACCACTCTGCCTTTGTGTACGCTGACAAAAGTAACTTAATAAATAGATCCCTCACAGTTGGCAATTATTTGATTGTGTATTATTTTTAAGAATTGTTCCGATTAGTTTGCAATAATGGGGTTGACATGTCTGAAAACAAAAACCCCAAAATAAAACTAGATAAAAAAAAAAATTATCTACCTGTGTTATGGTTACTGCAATGTAGACATAACTCTCTTTTGAAGTAGACTTTTGTTTAAACACGTTCTGTGCGTTGTGCTTTACTAACTTAGATTAAGGGTCCACAGTTAAAATTTAATTTTTACAGATATAAAAAAAACGTATCTATTTATATTTCTGACCAATACCGAGATATGAAATTAAATTCTCCGCCTAGTATAGCATGTCGGATTCCAATATCGCAAAATTCGACATGTCAGCATACTGCGTTTACCAATTAACAACCTCTGCCTTCTCCATCTGGGAGAGGGAAAGGGATTGTTTTTTATACTATTATGGTGGCAAACGAGCATTGTTAGTCATGTGGACTGATGACCAGGTCAGGTTGACTTCCACGCGCTTCCCCCTGCAATCCATCGTGATGAATTCCTGGTGAATTTACTAACCTAAACTCAAACTCATCGCATCATCGTTCACTGGTGCCTCGCCAGCATACCGTTAGCGCAGGTGGGTAGGTTGACCATTTCATTACCATCCATAAATATATATTCTGCTACGAGCAAAGATACATGCTCAGACAGGGGCGGTAATCGGTTCTTATGATAAAATAAATAATAATGCAAATAATACAATTCCCATTTGAATTATAGCCACAAGAACATCGCCCTGCGAAACTCCAACAACAATTGCAAGAAGAAGAAGAATTAGAGGAAGAAAAAGAAGAGCCCGACCGTCTCTCTCAGCTGTTGCAGCAGTCCAAGTTCGACTGCGTTGGCAAGCAGACGGGGTACTTTGCTGACCAAGAGCTGAACTGCGAAGTATTCCACTATTGTCAAGACAGCGTGAAACACTCCTGGATTTGTCCAGATGGATTCACTTTCCACCAGGTTAGTGCATACTAGAAATAATATATTTGGGTAATAAAAATAAAACAAAGGGGTTGTAAGGGGTTGAAAGGGATGATGAATGATTGTATGCAAGTATCGTCATTTTTAAAGCTAGAAGATTGTTTATTAGGCTGTTTATTGAACATAACTAAATATCTATGATATTCAAAGTTTGTAAAATGTTACCGTTAAGTGATTAAAATAAAATGGGGGATGAAAGTTTCTACAGAAAATCGTTATTTTTGAAGCTACAACGATGAAACTGTTTTATTTGGTTATTTGTGTTAGAGCATTATATATTTTATCTTTATTTGGTCAAGGTTTTTATAACACTCGGAAGAAGTCGCGGGCAAATGGCCAAATAGTACAGATTCACAAACAGAACAATCAGAACTTTTGATGCTAGAAACAATGTGCACTACTTTTAATAGCCTTAAAAGTAGTGCACATTGTTTCTAGCTTATATCGCTCTTAAACATATATTGAGTATATCTTCTTAAGACGTTGTAATAGAGATTCTTGAATTTATACAAACAAGGGTAAACTAATTAAGTATATTTGATAAAATTTTACCTCATTGTGATCACATATTAGCTCACGATGTAATGTACCGTAGCCAATAAGTATATCTACTAATCTACCAACTTGATTGAAACAGGTACATCTAATCTGCATGCCGCCTACCCACGACAACATCTGCCAGAAATCAGCGAAGTATCATTTCGTGAACGACTACCTCTACCGGCCCATCAACCAGGAGGAAGTACAGAGGAAACCCAACGTGTCGCTCAAATACTCCGACCGGTACTACCCCGCTGAAGTATACAGGGATGACAGATACGAACAGGAAGAAGAGGAGGAAGAGGTTAGTTTATGATAACCGAGGTTCTAAGGCTCGGTAACGCGCAAGTGATACTCCTAGTGTTTGATACATCCATAGGCTACGGTAACCGTTTACCATCAGATGGGCTGTATGGTTGGTTGCCACCTACGTAATATTTAAAAAAAAGTGTTTGTAGTTATCTGTGGGCACCTCAGTTCATTATCACCACAGATAATACATTTGGATAATATCGCTCACAGATAATATCACCTACTTCTGCCGCTAAGCATTCTGCTTTGCAAACTGTTTCGGTTGTACGGTGCAGTTTGGCCAGTGAAATTTCAGGATTTTTTTTATACTGCTATGGTGGCAAACAGGTATACGGCCCATCTGATGGCAAATGGTTACCGTAGCCTATGGATATGAAAAGAGGATAAGAGGCATTACTGTCATGATGGTCTTACTTAATCAATTAAACTATTCAGAAACAAAATCATAAATCATTTATTCATATAGGATATTATTGTTACCACCGAGGCCGTATATAAAATAGGTTCTTAAAATTTGCCTTCCACATTACAACCCTAAAATGTGATTTTGTTCTTAGGAGGAAGCACCTCGCCGCCAGCCAGCTCCACAGCCCCAACAGGCCAGGCCTTCGCCCCGTCCTCAGCAGCAGCCCCAAGTGTTCCACTCAGCCGAAGAAGTGAATATACCGTTAGGGCAAAGACGTCCTCAGCGCCCTTATGATTTCGACTTTTAAATAAAGTCTATTTGTAATTTAGATAGTACCTACTTTTATTAAATTGTATATAGGTGTCCTTAATTCTTGAATTTTGTAAAAAAATTTTGAATAATATTTACCTCAAATTTTCAATGCCTATCTACGCGTTTTAATTAAGTAGGTAGAGTGCGAAACAATCGTATGTCTCTCAAATGAAACTGATGTTATTTGAAATTCGATTATACGAATTGTAATTATAAAATAATCTTATTTATATTTCTGTACTATAAAGTATTCACTTTGTAATAAGTTACAAATTAGGTTTAAGCTAGTCTTTGTGTTAAGTGTACCTAAATAAGATGATAGGAAAAAATAAATGTTTTTACAAGAACAAGAAATTAACCTGTTTTTTATTTCCTTATTTAAATTTATGTTTATTTTGAATAATGAGGAGACAAACATATACTGTATAAGGGCGCTCATGGTAAGTGGAACTGAAAGCAATATTACACTACTCTCAACTAGTCGGCCAAATCTATGTAAAAATTATTATAAAAATTTATTTAAATATTTGTATTCTTTATATACTATTACACGTCGTACCTATAATTTATAAATAAAAATTATAAACAGTTCCTAGGTGAAAACTGTCTGTTTATTTCTTTGTGTTTCGACGTTTCACATAAGAACGTTTTTTTAAGGGATGGTAATGATATGTAGGACGGTTTATACTGGCGGGGCACCAGTGAAGAATAACAAGATGAGCATGAGGTCAGGTCAGTGAACCCATCGTTGCAAATTCACTAGGAATATATCATAACAGTCTCCGCGTGGAGGTCAACCACATCTAACAATTACCTTCATTTAATAACCATTTTTATTTGGGTAAGGGTATAAAAACGCTTAGAGAAATTTGGATGAACCTAAAAATTTATCTACACCCGACCTAAAATGATTAGGACATACGAAAATCGTTGCGAAAGAAGTTAGATAATTAGCCCACAGATCAATAGAAAATATTTTTGCTATCAATGTCAAAATTGTCAAGTGATATGACAAATGGTAAAGAGGTTATGTTATCTAAAAGTCAAAAACTCCAAACAAACACTGCCGGTGTCCGATTATGATAAATATAATCATGCCATAAATTTCTACCTTGAGGAATTGTGAATTATCTGTAATTCAAAGTGTAGTGAGAAGATTATAGAAACGACATTCCTCAGTACTCAAGCAATTCTTAACATTACGAAATTTGGATTTAAGAGATATTGGAAATAATGCAGTCTCAACTACTTCAAGATATATCTGGAATGAACCACACCGAGTACAAGAAGTATCATGAGTCACTCATGATGAATAACCACGGTTCAACAGCATTTCATACGTTTTTATGTATATTCTTTACTGTACAATGTTCGGTATATTGTGCAATTATAAACAAGTTTTCTGGCGTACTTCAATACTTCTACGAATATATAGTTATTATACTAACTATGATAACCGCCCATACAGTATTATCGGAGTATATTTATATATTAAACATTGCTATTTTTACAATGCTGTTGTATGAATTCATCTATCAATATAATAAATTGGATTTTTTCAAGAAATTCAAACAATACAATCGCTACAAAACAGGACGAATTCATACAATTTCATCTGTTAGAGGACTCACCTATTTGATCACTGTATTCTGTATTCTAGCTGTAGATTTTGAAATTTTCCCGAGACATCTTGCAAAGACTGAAAGTTATGGTTACAGTCTAATGGACACGGGAGTGGGATTGTTTGTATTTATGAGTGGTTTGGTACACAAGGATGTTTCTAAAAATAATGTTCTAGCAATAATAAGAGGGAATACAAAATTCATATCTATACTTGTTTTCCTCGGTGTTGCCAGGTTCATATCTGTGAAGCAATTGGATTACCAAGAGCATGTCACAGAGTATGGAGTGCATTGGAATTTCTTTTTCACATTAGCAGTATGTAAACTAGTTTCTAGTGTCTTGTTATTCTACTGTAACAACCCTCTGTGGTTAAGTGTAATAGTGTTAGTTGTACATGAGACAGCTTTATATGTTGGACTTCAAGAATGGGTGTTTGGTGATGCACCACGAATAAATGCATTGGACGCTAACAGAGAAGGCATATCTTCTAGTCTAGGTTATGTTTCTTTATACTTGTTTGCTGCTTATATAAAACTGATATTGACTGATAAGACAACACATAGATATAAGGTTCAAATTACATTAACTTCAGTCTGTCTAATACTGTGGATATTGACATATGTAGTGGATTGGTACCGTCCCACTTCTAGAACATTAGCTAACATGGGCTATTGCCTCTATATAGAAGGCATGATAGTCACTATAATCACAACCTTATACTTCCACGAAGTACTGTTCCATAATTTTGATGTGCCCGTAATTCTGTCAACTGTCAATGACAATGGATTGTTGTATTTTCTAATAGCCAACTTAATAACTGGCGCCATTAACTTAAACATAAGAACTATGCTTGTTTCAACTCCTATGACATTACTTATTTTTGTTAATTATATGATAGTTACTACAGCTTTTACTGCTTATTTGAAAAGAATAGGTGTAAGAATATAAAAACATTAATTTATTTATAAATTGAAATAAAAGTATTATATACCATGTACATAATAATATTAAATTACATAAATAGTAGATATATATTTATCACAAGAACAATTCAATGCAAAAGAATTCAAGTTCTGATGCTACTTGGTGAAATAATATATATATGTTACATAAAAATAACTTAAGAAAATAAATTAAATTACTAAATCTAAATATTCTTGTATTTTAATGCAGGCGAAACAGTATTGCATTATATACAATCTGCATATAAATAGGTTTTATATAATTTGTTAGTTTTTATACTTTTCTGATGCAGTGGGAAGTAAAGCCAATATCAATACCAATATAAATAAAATATAGGCTTAATTACAATGCATACGCATAAACCAGTATGTGTGTGCTACAGCAATACAAAATGGCACATAGCTCTGTGTGGAGAATCACTCCAGAATCAAAACACTGACTTTCAGCTGTCTTCAAGCTATGTATGTAATTTTTAAAACACAAAAAAAAACAATTGGTTGAATATGAAATAAATAAATAATAAAGAAAAGTCGGAGTTACAATTTGAGTATATCCTTGAAAGATACATTGGCACCGTCCCTACTTCCTACTGCATATAAAATGTGAAACATTGGTGCATTACTCTATACACAGTTTAAGCACTGTCACCCCTCATCCACCGATTATACCTATTTAATTTACTTATAACATCATTCCAGGTCAAAATAAATGTGATAAGAACCACCTGTAGGTATAAGTTATTATTTTTTTTTACTATTTAATATTTTTTATAATTGCTGTGACAATTTACCAATATATATTTTATTATAATAAAAATAGGACACATAAATAAGACAATAAAAATAGGTGTGTAATGGAAATAATAATAATGAGTAATGCAAAATTTAAACAGTTTATATTACGGATTTGGTAGTTTAAATAAAAAATTACACAGTTATTTATTAACATAATAGATACCACAAGTAGTTTAATAAGTACAAGTAGGGGAAACAAATCTAACTAGGCTAGACCCTGCCTCCCCTAGGAGATTTTACATTTTTTTAAACATCATCACCTAACTAAGTTGGATACACTCAGGACTAATGCTTGTTGTTAGATGAGTTTTGACTAGTCTAAATATAAATTATAGTATTGTTTATATACTTAGTTATTGCTTACAATGTTATTTGTATACTCTGTGGACTGTAGCAATGCAAATGATAAATAGATGAAATTTTAGCACGTTTTTTTGTAAATTTATTATAGTAAAGAGGTTTCACATTGTTATAAGTAGAATAATAATTATAGATGCAGTGACCCTAACGTAAATACAAAATCAAATCAAAAAAACACCTTTACAAATAAATAAATTGCATTGAAATGGTTCTTTTTCTGTTGTCCGACTAAATTTTTGTCTGTCCTTTGGTGCAAAGGTTTTCGTAGTAAACTGGATTTGGAGGTACGACCGAAACAACGTAAGTAATAATTTAAATATTGTTAGTTATTATATCGTTAATCAAAGCTGATATTTTAGAGGAATATTTTTTGCAGCTATATGAATTGACACATTGTTTTATGGAAACAAGTAAACTCGTCATACACTTTTTTATAGTAAAACGCGGGAAACGAGTTTACTTGTTCTGTTGCAAGGCAAACTTGTAAACATAAAAATATCCAATAGATCGTAAATGTCTAATATTAGCGCGAAAATCTAGAAATACACTCGCCCTATGGTGCAATTTGGCGGGAAAGTTCCCGACTACATGTATTATTACACCCAAATTGGTATTGAATTTTAGTAGGTATTTATATTTCATTATTTAAAACAACTTTCAAACTTTTACGAAATCTTAGAAATCATTCTTCGGAAACGAACATTGTTTCGATCAGACACTTATTTTATATAATATCAATAATAGAATAACTATTACTATAATTCTGTTTCTATGATATATGACCCGTAATTAACAATATAAACTGTCCTGTATATTTATTATCACTGGCTGAAGTCAGGTCGAAAAAGAAAGAAATTAGTTACATACAATTATGCAACGAAAACAAGGGTTAAATAGGTATTGTATAATAAAAAAAAATAAGCGTTTCAAGTAGTGTAATCTAGGAGGCATAGATCGACCGTTGAAAGTGGACAAGTCTAATTTTGAGTATTGTTCCTAGATATAATACGTAATATCTGGCAAATGACAGTTAACCGTGCATATTTGAAGCAAGCTATAATTACTGGTTAATAAGTTTCCATAAATTTAAATTCCCATACATTTTTGGTTCCAAATTTAAATTAGAATTTACAACCATGTAATTTACAAGTCGATAGTAAACCTAGATATTGAGAATGACTCTCAAATATTGTTCCTTACTAGTTTATAGATAATAACATGTAAATATATCAACATAAAGCTTGAATATTGGAATGTACATGTAAAATCAAAGACAAAATAGAGAGATCAACGTGCGGTGGGCAGTCTAACAAAACCGATGTAAATAAATAGACAATTGTAAATAAATAATTACATCTGCAACATCCACCAAAACTAATTGTTAACACTTATAGATAATTTTTATTGTTTATTTTTAGCAATTAAAATAAGTCGAAATATTTATAACGTATGAAACAATAATCGATACAATGCATACAACGAATTCACTGTATATAATATACCTTGGATTAATAAATTTTATATTTTTTGCTAATGTTTTTTCCTGCAATATTTGGCTTTTTGGATTAATAATTTTTATAGGCTTTTCTTCTTTAACAATTTCTAATCACCTGTATTACCGGCACTAAATTCTTTCCAAAAGCGGCACTTTATCGGACTTAATTACAGACTTTAAACGTTTATGCGCCAGTCTAGCACTAAAGAATATAAAACTGTAAAGAACCAGTACTATTACAATTCCTGCATAGAAAAATAGATACGGAAACCTTTTTGGAGACCACAAGACTGTATACTTCATTTCTTGGTTATTGCTTTCTGAAAAAAAAAAACAGTTCAAAGTATAGAAAAAAATAATTTTATATAAACTACTTGAGTAAATCTGATCAATCTTAGAGTAATTTATGCGTTATCTTCACAAATTCTTAGAGTAAGATAAGGTAATAAAATTACAGGATAAAAGGTATGACATAAGGTGTAAGCCCTCCAGAATGGCAACTCATAAACGGTATCTCGTGTGTCACACGATAACGTGATATCTGTAGTGCTGTTCATGTATATAGGCCACATCTACCACTTACCATCATGTGGGCCGTGAGCTTGTTTGACATTCCAAGATCAGAAAAAATATCTCAATTAATAAATTATCATGAAGGAAGTTAATAAAATGTAGAAGTATTGATAGATTTATATTATTTTGTATAATTCTACTACCATTAGCATGTATGAAATCACAAATATTTAGTGCGGAAACCTGAGCGCCGCTACTGGAAGCGTTACGACCTTCTCTATTGGTGATCAAATTCCGACCGTTATTGAATCTACAGTTCTACACCCATATTGCGTCTCTGTCAAACAGTCAATACTAGGCCTCCAAACTATATCCGAACTCTATTAAAAGCCTGATCATGCCTCGTTCAGAGACGAAACACGTGTCGCTATATAGGTCTCAATTTATAAACTAATTATCAAGTTTTAATAAATATATCATATCAATTTATGTTTGTTTATTAATAAATGACGACCCCAAACTTCTGTCTCTTAGCGTTCTTGAATAAACTATTTTAGAAATTAGGAAGACTAATAAAGGGAAAATTAACATTTTAAAGATGTTGTTTTGAAGATTAGATATCTATCTATATAATTCAGGAATCAAAATGTATATCCGACTCTTAATTGCTTAGAACCAGAACCCCAAAGGACCCGGTTTTTCGTTGTTTTACGCCAAAAAATGTGAAAGGCCTCTTAATACCTTCGGAATTTGATCACCGAAGAGATAATAGAATTTCATTTTGTGTTAAATGTGTAGTATTTACGTTTAGTACACATTTAAGTCATATATAATTCCGATTTTACATTGATAGTCAATATTTAAAATAAATTGTGTTATCATTTATAGAATATTTTGGTTTTAATTTCATTAAACAAATAAATTACCTATTATTGCTACTCCATATCCTATTTTGCCTGTACCCATTCTGTATGAACATGTTGGTACGAAAATTTCATACAAGGAGTCCTCGTAAAACGGCACACGTAGCACAAAATTTCCGGCTAGCATTTGGTGACTCGAACGTTGTGTTAGATCTTTCTTTTGTTGTACATACTTCGACTCGTGATCATGAGCGCAGAAGTATATGTTCGGATGGATTTCATTGTTTACCTAGAAAAGGAGAAGAATGATGTTATCCGGTTCGAAGGACCAATTTAATAAATAAGGTTAGGAGTCATTATTTTTTATTGATATCTACTTAATTGTATATTATTTATATCATGCACAATATTGATGCAATAGGATGTCGAGTATTGTTGGTGGATGTCTGATTGAAATTACTATCCAATTCAATAGTGAAATGAGTATCTAAAGTTTAATGTGCTTATGTAATAAACTAATTTATTAGAATTTTTCTTAAATGAATAGCCTACTAAAGTTATAAATGCGAAAGTTAGTATTAATGTAGTCACACGGTAACTTATAAAATTATACTTTTATGATTACTTAGTGATTAATGTAAGAATTTAATTAACATTCTATAAAATGAAGTGTTTTATTTTTTTTACTTGTCAATTCGCTTAGATCTTTTAAACTACGCAACGTATTTTAATTCAGTTTTTTGCAATAGATCACTAATTAGGAAGATTCATATCTGTTACATGCATTACAGAAAACCGTTACACCCGTGCAAAGCCGGGTCGGGTAGCTAGTAAGAATTATAAAACAATTTAAATACCTTTTGTACAAAAGCATGTTTGTTAGTCACAGGATAATGAGATACACCGATACGAAGGTTGTTATCTTCAATCTCTGGTTTCTTTGGATATGTGTAGGTGATAGCATTAACTTTGTAAAATGATATATTTCTGAATGTTACCACAGTTGGCTGTTGGAATACTCTCTTAAAATCTTCAATTTTATCTTTCTTTATAGGTTCATTTTCTCCACCTATATCATTGTCGCCAGGGATCCAGACTTGCTGAAACACAATGAAGTAACTAGTTTCAAAAACAAATTCAAATTCATTTATTCACATAGGACCTTTCAGCATCTTGTGCACATCATATTTTTTATCACTACCCTTTATCCTTCCTCCATTTCTGCTTTAATACAAGGTTGAAATATGATTTGGTGAAAAGTCAGTTTTGATGTCTCTTTTTTTCATATTATCGAGTTTCCTTTTGACTAAATATGTTCCTTTTTCATATATTATATTATGGGATAGAATATAATGGACTGACGTAACAAAAATGGAGGAGTTCCTAAATTATTAAAGAAATAAATAAACTACTTTAATCTTTGTCCTATATCCTAATAATAATGTGACCATCGGAAAATAAGATGGTACAGTAAACCGCTAGAACCCCAAGGCCCTAAAATTATTTAAACATTTGAAAAGACAACTAAACTTATATCCATAAAAATATGGCATAATTAATAATAATAGGAACCACATAACTGACTGCATTATGGATTATTATTCATTTAAGATTTGATATATGTTTTGCGACACATAAAAATAACAATATCTCTTATTGAGAATGTATACTAAAATATACAACTTTGCACATTGAAAAATTAGATATATACTTACTACAATAGGATAATTAACATCAAATATGTTGGAAAGCCTCTTCACATATGAATGGAACTGTGGTAAAGTGGATATTGAGCCCTCATCCATCAAATCACCGAGGTATACCAGCACATCTGGTTTGAAGTGGTTCATTACCACAGAGAATGTTGTCTTCAGATATCTACAAAATGTACAAATATCAATGAAATGATAATGTCAATAATTTTTACATATCTTGTAGTCACATAATATTGCTATGGTACTTATGTGTGGAGTGTGATTGCTTGTATTGGTCTGGATGTTTTATATGTATATTATATCTTTTGTCTGTATCCATCCTGCAATCAGTTGAAGACTATGAACAAATGTGGTTGAAGTTATGTCGCAGGTAGAGTTTAATTTCCAGCAGAATAATCATATCTTTAGGTGGTCCTGATTAGTCATTGGGTTCCAGTTACATACACCTTTAAAGGCGATTTATGTTGACAGGGACTATCAGTTGATTGGCCACCACATTAGGGTGATTTACAAGCAGTGTCTTATATTTGGAGCAGCAGTGTTATTGTATATTATAAATTAATAAAACAAATTTTTGTATCTGTTATTTATTAAGCTCTGCTCGGCTTGGTACTAAATGGCACTATGTTAATTGTCCAGGGATATTATTACTATTACAAATTGCTATGGTCTTCCTATCTAGAGTAAGAATAATAATAAAATAAGCAATTGAATCCTCACACTGTACAAACAATTGTATTGACATGATGACTATGATTGTTTGTATTGTTTGTATGTGGTTCCCCACATATTTATGTATTTACAAAATTTGTATCTACTGGGTGTTGTGTAAATTAAATATATGGAATATTTAATTTATGTATTTACAAAAATATAGATTTTAGTACACATAACACAAGCTCTGCACATACTATTATAGTATGTGCAGAGCTTGTGTTATGTGTACTAAACCAAGTCCATTAGGACTTGGTGATAAATCAGGACTTGGCCTGTAGCACTTCCAATCAGTGCTAGTGAATTCAATATGATGGACCCAATAACCTAACTTAAATCTCATTCTTCACTGGTTTCTCACCATTGATTACTCTAACATTCTGCACATCTATAATGGACTTGGTGATAAATCTCACAATCAGTGCTTGATTCAATATGATAGACCCAATATAATATCTCATTTTTTGATTTCTCACTGTTGATTACTTATAAATATTAAATATTATTAAAATAATAAGAGGGTGGTAGGCAAAATATAGTCGAGGACCTATGATTAATGAAATGCAGCATGTTAAAATACAGTAGTATCTGTAAATAATCATTCACTACTTTCCTCGGGTGGATTCTTAGCTTCCTTAAAATTCTAGTAAAATAAAAATTGTTCTTGTACTTTTTATGTACCTATAGCTAATTCAAGTAATATTTAGTAGTAATTATTGTGGATAGTATTAGTAATGCAATTCATATGGTTTTAAGTCTAGGTCTTATACTCACCGGTCGCTATCCCAATTGAAAAGGTAGCTAAGAGGAGGTGGTACCGCCTCGTCTCCCTGTATTTGAGGATCGGCTATGAACAATATTTTAGTACACGAGGGATCATGACTTGGACATTCTAAATTCTGCCAGTACAGTGGCTGCACGAGGTATATCAACCACTCGCAATACAAAGCAGCTGCTAGCAACGCTGCTATGAAGTATTTCACTGTTGTACTATGATAAATAATGTTAGATTAAGTTGATTAATAAGTTAAAGATATGAACACTTAGTTATTAATTATATTCTATTTACTTACCTTCTTCTAAAATACATTTTAAATTATAACATTTTTGTGTAAATTAACAGAAAAGAGCTTTCAAAACAATAATTGAGTCCAATTTGCAATGCAAAGAAAACAAAACAGTTACGCTCCAATACGTGCAGTATTCATCAGAAATAAAATTACAATTTCATGTCATTTCTTTATTATGTGCGTATATATTATGTTAACATTACTTTCATACAAGCTTTGTTTCAAGTGCTATTATATTTATATAATATTCAACTTTAAAGTTATGATCTAATTAAAATAAATTAAAACTTTTTAGTTTATGAATCAACAAAACATTCTGAACAATAAAGGAATGGCCATCGAGTGATTTTGACATTTGTATTTTTGGGTACGATCACGTCAAAATTGTTTTATTTATTAACTTCCACAGAGCAAATAATCACGAGGTGAAAACCACGATTTATTAATAAAAGTAAATATTATGCAAATAATCACTAGTGAATATTGTACTATATTATAAGAGATAAATAAATTTGTTACATAAATTTCATATAATATTAGGTAAAATACAGTAACAGTGTAATAATTTAAAATGTTTTGAGTAATCAATATTATTATGTATTTCATGAACGTTACCTTATTGCGGCGATTTGACAGGTCAGCTTCGTTCGAGCCACTTTTTAGCTTTCTGTATAGCGTATTTTAATTTTATTTCATTATCCTTTGATTTATGCGTAATGATTAATATCTATTTAGCCATATTAGTAGATTTGTTGTTTAATTAGATTGTTTCAATGTGCACTTACAGTGTTATATAAACTGTAGAGCTAATAGTGTCGGCAGTCCCGATGTGTATAACTACATAGTACGTCAGTGATCGAATGGTGGCTGTAAGATAATGGATGTGGATGCTCCTAATATATTGAAAAGGTGCAGCAGCGCACCTCTGATCAATGAGGCGGCCTCTACGGCGGCTATCTCGCCTACCACCAACACAGCGCCCAGGTAAAGTAGACAGGTAATTCGCACGCCTCTGAGTGCGATGTAATTGTTGCTATGTTACCTACCTATTTTCGACGATCGCCCTGGCGCTCTGTGGGTGCTATGCTTCTGTTTAGCTATTTGTTTGTTTATTATGTGTGCTATTAAAATCAAAACTATTGCATATTTTGTTATTGTAATAACATTGTTTTCAATTAAACCGTGCGACGGCGTTGAATGGCGCTCTATTGATAAATATACGAGTGTTGTGGGTTGTGGTGGCCTTTTTAGGTGGCAAGTAGGTGTTTAATTTTATTAATCATCTGAACCTCGTCAATTTGCAATAAAGTGAGCTGTGAGTGTAGTACAAGCTTGTAGTAGGTAATTTATTTTCATTCCTCATAAACAATAGTCATTTCCAATGTTGCAAGATAAATTCAGTTATATTTACATTAAATTAGTTGCATTGTTTAATTGTATTTTATAGTTTATGACTGCAATTTTGTAAGTATATAAATATTAAAGTTGTGTTAATTAAATAATAAATGTTTAATCGGCAACTGGTTGTGATACATGAGTGAATCTTTTTTTTCGTAAACTATTTGCATAGCTATTTCTTTTTCTAGTTTTGACAACTGGTTTTGGAATCCAGTTACAATTTTAAATATGCTCTCATTGCTGAATATTTATGCATAGAAATGTTAAATTAAAAATAAGGAAAATAGGTATTTTGGAAACATTTAATATATACCTTAAGAAACTATGTATAAACCCATCATTCAAAATCAATAGTTTTACGACTGATATAAATTTAAATATAAATTTCTTGTATACAAATAGTCTCTATTCCAATTTCAAAACAATGTTATTAAATTTCTGTAATTAACTATAAGAGGTGTTCAGAAATATGTAAAGTTTTTTAGTTGTCACACATTTTGATGGCCTTTATGGTAGTTTAGGACACTGCTTTACTTCCAGTGGTTACCAGTTCAATTTCTTAAATGATACAAACATTTGTATTGATGATTATGAATATTTGTATCAACCATGTGTTTACAATATATATTATGTATGTTATATATCTTATGTATATATTTAAGCCAAAAAAATACAAGTAACTAAGTATTTGTTGTCTTAGCTTTGGATTAGATGGCACTGTTATTAAATTTTACTGTTAAAACTTAAACTTCTGAGAACTTGTGTAGTGAAATGAGATGATTGCTACATCTGTAGTCAACATTTTTTTAAATCTGTGTGTGTACCAACCAGCACTAATTTATTTAGGCTCAAATATAAAAATACAATAAGATTAAATCAGTCTAGTGATAAGAGCAGATCAGTCCCTACAAGCAGCACTCATTCACGAGTATGACGGATGAGCCAGCCATCACTGCGCTCGAACATATGTTAGGGAGCCCAATGACCTGGGCCACCACGCCGCCACATGTCTGGACATTTTAGTGAGCATGACTACTCATTCCACTCGACCACGTCACAGCTACAAAAATTACTATACCATATAGTTACAGTATTCGGACTTTACATGAGGATGCATGCGGCAATCAATACAAAAGCTGCTACGCTATCATATATCAAGAAAGCAGTATGAAAAATAAATTATAATGTTGTCCGCAAATAAACTTATACTTGCTATATATTGCTATCATCTATAAATTCATCTCATATTGACAAATAACATTGTTTACAACAAAAAAATGCCTAGAATTTAGGTAATTTTTCTTATTAATTAATGATAATATAATGCAGGATAATAAGACGAGCATAGGGTCAGATCAAAGCCCACTCTAACAATTTGCTCAGGAATTGACGGCAAAAGGACTAGCTGGTTAGTGCACCGCCTTATCCGATGTTCGCTGGTTCGATTCCGCGCACCGTACAAATATTTGCATTCATGAGAAAAATTGTTTGTATTGGTCTGGGTGTTCTCTAATGTATATTATTATATGTATTGGCACACAACGTGGAGGGTACAACACAGCTAGACTGGGGGAAGGCGATTGTTAGTAATGTGAACTCATGACTCCATTACTAGCATTTCAGGTTGACCTCCACACGGTTCCCCCTGGAAATCATCGTAATAAACTCCTGGTGAATTTATCACGATGGGCTAACTGACCTGACTTCATGCTCATCTTATCATCCTCCACGGATGCCCCGCCAGCGTAAACCGTTAGCGCAGGCGCGTGCACCATTCCATTATCAACTATAAAAAAAACATAGCTAGACTGAAATATGAACTGAAATGTAAACGTTTTATATTTATCTATTAGATGAGTTGGCACTTCATGCCTATGAGACGGTATTCCGAACAACAAAAAATTATAAATTGTTTTTAAACCAATTGTAAATATAAAGTAGATGAAATTATCTTTATACAAATGAACTTAATATAAGCACTTTTGAATAGACATATCATATTTTTTTCATTTTACTGCATATTCGAAAAGCATAGTCATCACACAAGAAAAAAACGCGTTGCTTTGCTCTTTTAAATAAATGTTGTTCAGCATTACATATTTACGATTGTGTGTAAAAACAAATACTCAATTTCAAATGACACTTACCACGATGTGTTAGAAAAAAGCGCACACAAATTCAAACGGGGATTGAAATTACGACGGCCTGAGCTGTGGTTCAAACCCCTAGTGATGCCCTGAGACTAAAGTCGTATCCGTCAGGCGGCAGTTGACCTTCAGCCGCTCCATAAATCCTTCTGCGGGTTTGGAGTGTCATCTCCACTCGCCTCCTATCATCCGGTGAAGCTGTAAAGACCAGCAGCAGCATTTTTTTAGGGATGATAATGAAACAGAGCGGCCTCCTGCGCTAACGGTTTACGCTGGCGGGGCACCAGTGAAGAATGATAAGATGAACAGGAGGTCAGTTAGCCCATCGTGTATCATGATGGTTTCCAGGGGGAATCGCGTGGAGGTCAAACTGACATGGTACATTGCTAGTAATGGGGGACATGAGTCCACATTACTAACAACCCCCCCCCCCCCAGCTAACAGCATTAGTAGTCCGAAAAAAAATCAGGGGTATTTAAAGTGATTTTAAAAATTTAGATCTCGTTATTTTTAGGTATAAACACTATCAAAGGTATGTCACGTGATAAATACATCAGGTGATAATGGTTGCTATTTGGTTACATTATATTTACTGCTCACTGATAATTATAAATCACTAGTTTTGGCCGCGGTTGCATTTGCGTGAAATTTACATCTCATGTATTATTCTGATGTAAGCAAAGTACATATACTGTAAAGATTCATCTAAATTCGTTCAGTTCCTTTTGCGTGAAAGAGTAAGAAACATATGTTCATCCCTCTATCCATCCATACACACAAACTTTTGCGTTTATAATATTTGTTATGTATGATAATGTATTGGTGCGCTTAGGGTTTACACTGGCGGAGTACCAGTGGAGATAGGATGAGCATGTTGGCAATTTTTTTTTTTGTTTATTATAATTTAGCATTGAAAAACACATACAACCCTAAATTGTCACCCTTCTATCATCAACCCCTATTTTTTAATAGCTATATTACTCTTCAATTTATATGGCAAAACGTTTGCCGGGACAGTATGATATTTACAATTCAGATGGCTGGCGCCATCTAACATCAAGCTACGCAAAGCTACTGTAGTAACTTATGGGTATTAGACTACTAATATAAATACGTAGTTACTTTTTTTGTAAATACACACATAATATACATAGAATATGGTCAAACTTATAAAAGCAAGCATATTTATGAATATAAATATTTCTACTGTGCAAGGAATCGAACCCGCGACTATCGGAAGTAAGGCGGTCTGCTAAATCGCTAGACCATTGAGGTTATATATTAATATAACGCAAGTAAGCCGACACTATAAAACTTTATGCGTCAATTTATATTTTTTAACTAGTGACTCGCCCCGGCTTCGCACGAGTTTATTTTTCTGAAGCGCACTGCGTGGTTCTAATTGGGATATACGGCAGTCATTTTTTATTTATGTATATTTTATTTATTTCTTTTATATAATCGAGATATATTGTTCATAGATTTATATACTTCAGCCTTTCTCATTATATATGTATAACTAGCTGTACCCGCGACTTCGTCCGCGTAAAATGACGATACTTTCGTATAACCTTTCTTCTCCCCTCTAAACCTCTTGAAACCCTTTATTCGCATTAAAAAGTAGACTAAACTATCTGTTTACGAAATTTTATTTCTTTCGGTTCAGTAGTGTTGGCGTGAAAGCGAGACAGTTTCTTTCTTTCTTTATAATTTCTAAGGATTGCTTTTTAAGATACGACAAAAGTTTTAATTGTTTAATTCTTTCTTTATAATATTAGTAAGGATGATAGATTTTTATACTTCAGAGTTTAAGATACGACAAAAGTTTTAATTGTTTAATGTGTTTCTCTGGAGTACTGCAGCTGGTGGAATTATTCATTACATCATGTTATCATTGTCACTGTAAACATCGGCCAGTTATTTTAATAAGCAGTCATTGGGTGCGATTAGATTTCTTATGTTGGCAATACTCACATTACGCACGTGTTTCTCGGGTGTCGAGGACTGTATCATTCCATCTCTGTTGAGCAAAGCCTATTACCCACTAAACGATTACTTGAATGACGAGCGTGCATGGCAATAGTTGTTCATGCACGGGATTTCCATTTAATGTTAGACAGACACCTATATAAATATACAATGTAAATAAACTGGCTTTAAAAAAAAAGTAATTCAATTGAGTTTCTTGCCAGTTCTTCTCAATTGGATCAATATACTGAACTGGGCGGTAGTGAAATATTATAATATTTAAAATTTTACGTTTATAAGCAGCTAAATTGTCCTACACAAATAAATGATTTTTGAATTTGAATTTGTCGAAAAATGAATTTTTGCCGTGTTTTTTTTATGCAATTTATATGGCTGTCGTGTTTTTTTATAGTGTTTTTTTTTTGTTCATGATAATGGAATGGTGCACCCGCCTGCGCTAACGGTTTACGCTGGCGGGGCACCAGTGGAGGATGATAGGTTAAGCATGAGGTCAGGTCAGGTAGCTGAAGGTAAATTACCAGGAATTTATCACAATGGTGTGCAGGGCAATTGTGTGGAGGTGGAACTATCATGGTATATTGCTAGCAGTCAGGCTACAATCCCCTATCCTATTGTACATATAAATATGTATGTAAATAAATTTATTGTTGACTAGCTGTACACGCGACTTCGTCCACGGGATTTTAACTTTATTTTTCTAAAATAAAAAATAATAATCTAAAAGATAAGTATACAAAGTTACTCCTAATTACATGAGCTACTTGCCAAAAAATGTCCTGTCAAAATCGGTCCAGCCATTTCAGAGATTAGCCGGAACGAACAGACAGACAGACAAAAATTCTAAAAAATATTATTTTGGTGTAATTTAGATTCATATGCACGTAGGAAAAAAACTGTTATTTCAATATTACAAACAAACATTCCAATTTTATTTATATGTATAGATTTTGAATTGATCATACATGAACAGCTACGGACGACTGATTACCCTATTGCTAGCAATGTCCCATATCAGACATCCACGAGATTCCTCCTGGAAACCATTGTTCCTGATGAATTTCTCATGATGAGCTAACTGACCTGACTTTATGCTCATCCTATCATCCACTGGTGGCCCGCCAGCGTAAACCATTACCACAGGCCATTGCACCATACCTTTATCATTAAAAAAAAACACCTACGGACGTTATCAAGTGACGCCTACGATACCGCTTATGCGTTGTCATTCCTGAGGACCAAGATGTCATGCCTCTTATCCTGTAATTTCACTTATCTTACCTTCCAACCGAAATATGAAACGATTGAAATGTTTTGTTTATTTGCATACGTACACGGTACACAGTGAAGGTCATGTAACATTTGTAGATTAGCATAGCTTACAAAGCAAGTTGATTGGCAGCTGATAGAGGTAGACAGATGATATTTATTTATATTCTGTATTAACTATATCCCGTGGCGTTTCTTGCCTGAATTATATTATTATTTTTAATAATAGTATTACTATCAGAACAATTCACACAGCGCCATCTAGTCTCAAGTTAAGTCACTAAAGCTTGGTGTGGGAACTATTTATCTGATACAAATAAATTTATATTACAATATATATGTAAACAGCCAGACCGATATAAACAATCATACTCATGAATATAAGCATGTCGTGCAAGGAATCGAACCCGCGACCATCGGAACTAAGGCGGTGTGCTACACAGCTAGACCACCGATGCCGTCGAATTACAAGTACGTTATATGTTGCATTACTGATAATATAGATTTCTATAGACAAAGGCAGACAATCGGTCATGTATTCGAGTTCGTGTAGTACAATGACGGCCTCACCGCCTTATTTCCGATGGTCGCGGGTTCGATTCGTCTCCTAAACTAGCTGACCCGCGCAACTTCGTCTGCGTTTCATTTCCTCACCTTTTGCAATGTTTTTTTTAGTTCCGCTCCTATTGGACGTAGCGTAATGTTATATAGCTAAAACCCGTCCTCGACAAATGGACTATCCTACACAAAAATATTTTTTCAATTCGAACTAATTCCTGAGATTAGCGCGTTCAAACAAACAAACAAACTCTTTAGCTTTATAATTTAGTATTAGTATAGATGTAGTATGTTTTTTTATAGGAGATATTGAAATGGTAAACTCGCCTGCGCTAACGGTACAACGGTACGCCAGTTACCGTTAAGGGGCACCACTGGGGAATGATAGGATGAGCTTGAAGTGTGATCAGTTTGGCCTTCGTGGCGAATTTTCTGGAAATTTACCACGATGGTTTCCAGAAGGGACCGTGCGGAGGTCGAACTATCATGGTATAGTGCTAGCAATGGGGCTCCAGTCCTCATTATTAACAATCCCCTACCCACTATGTTATATATTGTACATATATACTATATATTAACATATATACTATATATTTGAATAAATTATTTTTTAATTTAATAACTTATGTGGGGGGGGATGGTTAGTTATGTGGACTAATAACCACATTACTAGCAATGAACTATATCAGGTTGACCTCCACGTGGTTCCCCCTAGAAACCATCATGATAAATTCATGGTGAATTTATCACGAGGGGCTACCTGACCTGACCTCGTACTCATTATCATCTCAGCTTAGCTTCGCTCCTATTGAACGTAGCATAATGTTATATTGCTTAAAGCCAATAAAAAATATTTTTTCAATTCAAACCAGTAGTTCCTGAGATTAGCGCGTTCAAACAAACAAACTCTTCAGTTTTATAATATTAGTATAGATGTAGTATATTTTTTTAAACGGGAGATATTGGAATGGTCAATTTGCCCATTTGGTTGAAATCTGGTCAGTTTGCCCTTCGTGGCGTTTACTGGAAATTGTCTGCGAGGATTTCTAGCGGGGACCCCGTGGAGGTAGGTCGACTTCATCGTGGTATATGCTAGCAGTGGGGCTCCAGTCCTCATTATTAACAATTCCCTACACACTATGTTATATATTGTACATATTTTATATGAATAAATTATTTTTCAATTTAATATCATAAGTGGGGGGAATTGTTAGACATGTGGACTAATAACCACATGAACAGGAACTATGTCAGGTTGACCTCCACGTGGTATCCCCTGGAAACCATCATGTTAAATTCATGGAGAATTTATCACGACGGGCTACCTGACCTGACCTCGTACTCATTATCATCCCCCACTGGTACCCCGCTAGCGTATCGTTATCGCAGGCGAGTGCACTATTCCATTATTATCCATACGAAAAAAAAATAAGTGTACTGCTTATTACAGGAATACGTTCTTCAACATGTTTAGTAACAACAACGTGTCGCGCACCCGCCGGCACAGCGGCAGCTTCAGTCCGCTCGCCTGCCAACCGGTCACGGTTAGTACATTTTGAACCTTATTTGTATCGCACTATCGCTTTTATCCTAGTAGAGTCACTACTTTTGTATTTATGTACAAAAGTAACCTGTATCGTTAAGAAAACAGGTGTACAGACAGTTGCATTCACTTTATATACTAGTTAGCCCGCGGTTTTACCCGCGTTAAATTTCAATATAAAATATAGCCTATGTTATTCTGATGCATTAGCTATATTACTGTAAAGTTTCATCAAAATCCGTTCAGTAGTTTTTCGGAGTCTTGAAAGAGTAGTAAACATTCATACCCATAGGCCCCCTTGCCCTGACTTCAACTTCGAGACCAAAAACTCCGGAGAACTGGGTTTAAGCCATTATTATAGGCTCTGTTGAATGACTACAATGTATGGACTTAATTACAATTTTAACTCTTGTACAAACTGGTCTGTTCGGGTTACTGATAATTATTTTCTTTTGACAAAAAAGCAATAGCATATTGCTTATGGTCACGATATTCTCCCTAATTGAATTTAAAAATGACTCTGTGTTTTTGTAATCATGTACAAGCACAGTTCAGTTCTTCTTAGCTCGTATGCATTACGAATTGACGTTAGATTCGATATGAGTGGCTCATTTGAAAAGAATAAGAGCTGAGTTTCTTTTCCGTTCTTCTTAACTCGAATTCACTCTGAACTGACGGTAGATTTGATATCATAAGAGTCTCTAATAGACTTGCATGAATATAGATATTTTGATTTAATTTGATCTGTATTTATGAAACTGTCAGAACTCGTGGGGTCCTCGACTCACGCCGCGTGTTAACCAGCTGCGGGCGGAGGAATGCGCAGATGTGAGCAATACAAGGGAAGTTGCGCACGAAAGGGAAGTACACTCCGCCATGCAGATGGGCCAGTCCTGCGAGGATCTCACCCTCGTCACCGGAATTTCCAATTCGCCTACCAGGCTACAAAGGTAAGTACTCCACTCCAAAATCTAAAGTTACAACTAAATTATTGAAAAGAGTAACACGCAAGTTTCTTGCTCGTTTTTCTTGTTATGAGAAAGGTTACCGAATGAGTGGTAGATTAAAAAAATAAGTAATGTGTATTCAAAAGTGCTTAAATGTAAGTTTATTTGGGAATTTGACTAGCGACCCGCTCAGGCTTTGCACGGGCCTGATATTTGAACGAAATTTTCATTTTGATTTAACGATTTGTTTTTAAAGAATTAAGAAACTGTGTTGATATGTTAGTCAGTCAGTAAAGTTCTTCTTGTATTAAAACTAAAATATCTCCCCTAAAGTGTTCGTTGAAATCAAATGATGTAGCTCCGTTCCTATTGGTCGTCGAGTGATGTTATATAATATACATTTCTAACAGTGATAGTATTTTTAAAATCGAATCAGCAGAACCGTTCATTACCCCCAAACAAATGTACAAACTTTACCTCTTTATAATATATACTAAAGAGGTTAAATTTATATTATTATATACTTAATTTGATCTATATGGTATTGTAGTATAAGTTGGTATTCGTGATACTTGACTGTTTTATCATTCCAGATTTTCTCCAGTCGTGTCTCCATCCCCGACGCGAAAATACACAACGCGGCGAAGCCTCTCGCCCATCGCGATCCGAGCGTCCAGCTTCAGTCCTGTGAGCAGTCGACCGAACATGTTCGTCGCGAAACGGCGGTGCGACGAGACCGACTCCCCGCTGTCCAAACGTATGTGCACCTCAGACAGATTGACCCCCTCAACGCCCGGGACGCCTGACTCTGATTCCCTAGAATGCACCTTCAGGCCCGTCTCTCCCAGGGCCCAACCCATGAACGAGTCACCGAACGAGTCACAAGACAGACAGGATAACCACAAATCACCCAACCCCAGCTAATAGTGTGTGCAGCGCATGGACAATTTAGTCCAGGAATTTCAAGTTTCACTATGTACCTAATGGTAATGAATATAAAGTTGAATTCTGTACTATTTACCGTTAGGTCTAAATTGGGGGTTGTATATGTTGCAAGTTGAGTTTTAGAGGCATTGTATCGCCTGTCAACTAGTGTTATTAGACATTTTAAACCTTATTGTAATCATATTTACAATCAATTCATATTAACATTTAAAGTGGTCTACTAATTTCGTAGAACATACATTAACTTTAAACTCAAACAAAACTATTTTACAGCTGTTCGAAAAAAATATATAGTTTTTGCTATTAAGCATGGAATATATGTAAGTTATTCACTTTTTTTCTGTTTATACATTTAGGAAAGTCACAGAGAGAGGCCATACAGCCGATGTAATATTTATTCAATTGCGTTTTTTATTTGTGTATTGTCACTATTGTGAGATACTGTTGTCCCAGGTATAGCGATATTCAACTTTATGCCAGTCACTTAACAATGAAATTCCTGGGCTATTGGTACATAGTGATTAGAACAGGTACTAAATGGTCGTGGTTAGCAAGTCAAAAGTGGACATATTACACTCTATATAGGGTTCAAATTGCATGTGTTTGTTCCGATACACTGAACTAGATTACACCAATATAAAAATGTTCCTAATATTGAAGTAGTTTAGGAACGAACATAAAGCGAACACCCTGTTAATAGCCAAAGCATTCTAAACTTTATTGTAAATATGTTAGGTGCGTTTCTATGTATTGAACGCAGTATTGTATATAATTTATATTGATAAGAGAATGTAGCCATAAATATAATTGAACGTGTTGTAACAAAATGTAGCAGGCGTACATTTTACATTGTTATTGATTTCGTCCGCCGATTTTTTTTTATTTATTACGAATTTACCGAGTATCTCGACGTTTCAAGTTTGGAATCTGCGCCGCTTGCCCGTATTAGTGCGAATTTATAGATGTTTAAGGCTAGTTTTGTTGTGGGTTGCCACTACATTAATATTTGTAACCTACATACATGCATATTTGTTTTGTTTATTATTTTAATGTGACCATATGTGTTGTTTTATAATTTAAGCTACAAAGGCGTCGAGGTTCTCTCTAATTTAGAGGTAAATATCTGTAATGTTGGGTTTATGGCGACTGTACACGGGCAGCTTTTTCAGCCGATTAGTTATGTGCAATTTACCGCACCACCTGAAAATAAATTATGTAACGCTGTGGGAATGGTTTCTTATTGTAAATAGATACTAGCCTGTACACGCGACTCTAGTGTTGCTTAGCTATTCTGATTGGAAAGATTAAAATGTGTAGTTCTGTGATAAATAGGCACCGTTTCAGAATTACAATTGCGAACCATGCATATAATTGCAATTCTTAAATAATCCATACAAAGTCCCAAACATTTTGATTGCATTGTTACACTTGAGAATTGTTGGCATATATCATAGGATTACATAATTAAGTATGAGAAGTCTTGTATGATATACTATAATACATAAAATATAATATAATAAATGGAAAATTATAGTTTGTAATGTTGAAGGTGCAAGCTGCCTGTGTACGATTGCTCCAAGACTTAACTATTCATCCTCATTTTTATTGTGTTCATTGAGTCACATAGTATAGATGTACGGGATAACTCTAAGCCACTAGCAACACTCAATATGAAGTATACAGTAGGGTTGCCATACTAAATAAATATAAATTCAACTGCACATTAAATAAAGTTGTATCTGATATGAAAATATTAAATTGGGGTAATGTATATATTAAACTCTGTCACCCTCAATCAACGATGAATCTTACGGGAAATAAGCGTTGGCAACCCTACTCACATAGAAAATTGTTATTATGTCCAAAGTATTTGCATTTAATACACTCATAGCTTTGCAGGTACTTTGAAGTGCTAATATAATGTATCATTTACTGATTAAAACACAATTAGATGTCACATGGGATCTTAGCTAGTTTTTAATGTCTCCATATAATTTTGATGTCTAAATACTTTAATAACTTCTGAACATGTTACCCAACTTATCTGTTCCGTTTTATCCTACCCTTACTTCATTTAATATATATTATATATATATTGAATTATATTACATTATCAAATGTATAGGCAGTATAATATGATGTCTATGCCATTTAAGCATTTGAAAATAAATACTTACTGTACTACATTATATTGGTTGTATATGTAAAATATACATATAATTCTATATGTGATAATATAATGTAAGTATACCAATTTGGGTTAATTATTTGTATAAAGCAATATCATTTATAACCAGAGAGATCAAGAGATGAGAAATTATTGACCATTGATAAAAATTGATATGAAATAATAATAGTAATGTAATATATTACTGGAATTGGTAGAATTTTTTTATTATTATACGGAGTTAGTAGTAAAGGGTATATTAATCTGAACACAGTGGTACTAATGAAACTGAAGAGCTATCCCAAAGAATAAGCAAATGCGAAATTTAAAATTATTTAGATCATTTCATACTAAGATTCAGCCATCATTGCATCTACCACATTAGTGACCCGCCTCACCACACCACCAATGTTCACTTTATAGCGAGCATTATGTTTCAAGTTACTCCACTACTAACAAATAGTTGGCACAAATTTTTAGCGTCCTAAACAATTTTTTCACCCGTAGTCTGTCACTGGGTCTCTCTTTAGTGTACTTATTACGACTAACATCGTTTAATTGAACATGTATATGTAGAAAATATAAATTGTTATTCACACACACTCGTACTGGGTAGGTGAAACGTTTTGTATTGTATCTATGTAGATTACATAGCCCTGATATTAAAATTAACAGTGTAATATTATAATGTATGGTTTCATAGTGCATATTGTAGTTATTTTATACCAAATAGGTTATTATATTATCAAATATTTCTAAACTAGATGGTTGTATATGAAATTTTCGAAAATAGAATATTTGGTTTATTTTGTCAGTTTATGATCTTATTGATACACTTTCAGACACCGACCCGTTACTATGTTGTTAACTTGTTAATGGGGAATTCCTTTTTTAATTACACACCATATAACGGGCACTGTCTCTCACTAGGACGTGTCAGTACGTCAGCACAATATAATTTAATATATTTTTGATATGAAATATTCCACCCGCTCCAGGTTCCAGGGCGCAGCAGAAATTTAAAAAATGTAGGTATACATATGTATGTCCTACACGTACACAAAAGTTTGACGTTTGACGTATTTATACGTCCCGCTCGGTTAACAGGTTAAAATTAATGGTTTGTTTCACCCGTCTGCGGTACCTAACGGTAGTTAGGTATACTCTGGCGGGGCTCCAGCGGGAAATAATATTAAATGGTGCCGAATTAACCCAAAAATAATGACTATTGTTTCCTGAGGTAGAGGGAGGAATATAATATTACATATAGAGCAGAGCAGATCCGGCCACGCTTTGCTGTGGATAACAGTCGCTTTATATATAAAAAACAGTTGCAATTTTATTGCGACTATAAGCTATCCTATCTTTTAAGTTGGATCAAATTGCACATAATGTGCAAATCAAATTTGTAGTTTAGGAGTCCATCGCGGACAAACAACGTGACACGTAATTTTTATATATAAAGATTTACATACCTTATTGCTAGCAAAGGAACCACTACTCCATGTAACTGAGGCACCCCTGTTCCTCAACTTCAATTATTGCAATTTAAATTGTTAATTTCTTTCTCTCAACTTAGAAAATAGGTCGAAAGAAGGGAATAAAACAAATGATTACCTAAAGTAGATTGAATATTGTTTTATGTGTGTTAAATATATTTATATTAAAAAATATTTTTTTATGAATAAGTCTGAATATATTTGATAATATAATAACCGTTCAAAAGGTAAATATAACAAATGGTAGTATGGTAAATATTAAATTACATTATAATGTAGTTTATGTGACCACCATATATAAGGAGGTTATTACACTATAGCTAGGATTTTCACGTGTGTTAATTGTTATGGAGTCATATGTTCCAATCCAACCTAAGATATACTCAGTAATACAAACTACTTAACGCGTCATGAATGTAATCATTGAATCATCTGCAACTGAAAGTACAACCTATTTGAACCTTTAATGGTGATAATACAAAGCTGAATTTTGTTTGTTTCCTGTCGGTAAAATGAATTACATTATGTATCACGAAATAAAATTCGAATTACATGACATGATAGAAAAGATATTATTTGAATGTTTTACACGTTGAAGACCGCATTGGAAAATCTTATTCCTCACATAGGGACCGGCATTTTTTTATTGTTAATTACGTATATTATTTTTTAAATATGTTTTTGGTGTACAATAATTTGAGGTAGACATTATTTAACCTCTGATTTATTTCAATTAAAGTGCCCACGGGTGATAACCCGGTCACAACGTGTAAATTTACTTTGTTGCGGAGTGACCCACCGGTGAGCATGAGGTCTTTAACGTGTTCATACTGATGGTATAAATTCATTTTTATTAATTGAAATGCAATAAATATAATTAGCAGAACCAACTAAGCAACGTTTATATTTGCTCCTTGGTCGACATCTACCTACTTGTATTGTTTATTAAAGTTGTTAACGTTAATATTTAATATCTGCATGAATTTATGTACTTTTGCAAATTACATGTAATCAAATGATAAGGCAGTTATTACACTATCATATTTATAGGGTCATATATCATATCAGTCATATATAAGATATTAAATATTAATAGGCCATGTTGTCATTCTCTTTTTATTATTATGCTAATACATAATCTCCGTATGTATAATGGTTTGTTGGATTACCTCAAATACACTACAGAATGAGTTCTGTAAAATGTTTTATTACAATTGTCACTTACAAAGTAATTAGAGTAGGAACAGAGAAGATTGAATAGTTCACTCAAGTTAAGGATATTTTTTTGGCGGTTCCCTTATCATAGCTGCCAGGTAGGAGCTGGTCTTTAAGTCTTGCCGCGAATTTAGAGCCGGCTATATTCGTCCGGTTAAGGTGTAAAGGCTACTAGCGGTACACAATGCAAAAGATAGAAAAAAAAATCTTAAAACTTGAGTTAGCTATTTTAAACCTATAGATGAATACCAACTATTATTGTGTCCAAATTATCTCATTATGCCTATATATATACCTATACAGTGGAGTAGGTATGTTTTGTAACATTTTTTATGTATAATTTTGAAGTCGTTTGATTCCCGACTTCAGGAAATACCATTTTGTTTAAAGTGATTAAATCACAGTATAAATTTGTATTGGTTTCATTATTTGCAATTTACAACGCGTTGAACCCAACTTTACGGATAACCCCTATGTCTAGCAGTAGGCTGATGGTGTTAAGGTGTACCACATCCATAATATTTGAATATGAAAGTCTGGCTGTTTGTTACCTTTTCACCACGAAACGGTTTGACGGATTTATTATAGATTGTATCATAAGGACAGATACTCTTCTATGAGTAGTTGAAAAATGAGCAGATAGAGCCGCTTCCAACGACTACATATTCATTAGTCTTATAACATTCACTAAAATCTACTAGTTCAGTTTATCTCAAAGGGAAAGGCAGTACAAATAGCTAAAGGATTTTTTTTCAGGTAAGTCGTATTTTTGCATTCATAACATAACACCGATTATTTAGCAATGAAACTTCTCTGATTTCAAGAACTCAGATATTTAAAAAGTCCATCCTTAAATAACCAGACCAGGAATCAAATCCAGAAGCATGTCCATTGTACTCTCAATGTGGTCGAACCATTTGAGTGCACAGTTGACACGGCCCCAATTTCCGCGCAGGTACAATAAAAAGTACGTCAGTTACCAAACCAAAATCACTTTTATTTACATGTCAAGAGTTTTACATTAACTTTGTATAATTAAATGACAAACGCTATCAAGAAAAAACAGTTTTAAAAGTGTAATTAATCTAAAACTTAGCATTAATGAACAACATTATTAATAACATTCCAATATTTTGTACTCTTTAAAATGTGATAAATTACAAAACATAAGACATCGATGCAAATAATCTCACAATAATTACTATGTAAATTAATTATTAAAACATTACAAAATCCATTAATAATAATAATAATTAAAATTAAAAGAGATTTAGCAAAGCACGCCGAATAGACTACATATTTATAACGTGTATAAAAACATACGGAAATTGATTACGAAGCATAGGACAGATAAGAATTCATAACTGTAAATCTAGTGCTAGACTTGTGAAATCGCGAATTATTTTTAATCAATAATATTGCTTGCAGTCATTCATTGACTGAATGCATCCGGTTTTTACATAGAATTTACATATAAATAAAAGACACAAAATTATAAACATGTACTTCCGCTACCATAGCAATAAAGCGCAGTGATATCACGCCTACATTTCCTATAGGAAGACAATATATTCTAATCATATAATTAAGCAAGGCGCATATACAATATTGGAATGTGAATTGGCTATAATTTTTGGTAGGTTTCTATTGAACTGTGAAGGTGTGTGACATTACATAATGAGATTTTGGTTTCTAAGCATACAGTTTCAAACAAAAGTGGAGTTTTATGGAAACTTAGTTTCGCTAGGTTAGTACTCCATACAAAAAGAGTTGCCTCTTAGTCTAATCTGGTGGTATCAGTGATCTGCCATACATACAAACGTTTATGGCACATTTTGTAACGATAAAACTTGGGATTACTCAAAGTTTTCCTTAGTCACGTGCAATTTCAGTCTTTTTAGATAAAGAAAAAATGTATAATAAATCATAAAAGCCGAAAATTATACATATAATTCAGACCTTCAACAATCGCCTTCTTGCAAACGCCGCTTTACAGTATAAATTGTAAAAACTAAGCTTTCCTAATTGATCTAGATTTGTCACTACCTAGATTTGCTACTAAATTACGGGCAGTGATATGGTCGTATAACCACGATGGTGTACGACGCGCGACACGCTTGTCTATTGTAATGTTAAACATTAACTTACAAAATAAATAGCCTAAAGTGGCACCTTACAATATATCGCCATCGTAACATTCACTAGACAGGGCGATACAAAACTCATATTGTAAAATACAATTATCAAGAAAACTCCGTTAAACAATGCTACAAAGTCAATATTGATCGTTGAAAAAAATGTTTTCTAACAAAAACATGGGCAGACGTGTCTATACAATACATAGTTAGAATTTTTAATAACATTAACAGAAAATTGACAACGCGCACACGTTCCGCGACATTTACATCTAAACTTTGACTGCCTACATTGTGCCGATTTGTTCATGAAATATAAAAATTCGATTCAATGTAATCTCTCAAGTCTCTAAGAAAGTGTGCGTGTAAATTTACACATTATAGGCAATCAAAAACACAATACAATATATTAAAAGAATTGGACCCACCTTAATATGTTTTTTACAGTGTGTAAAGTGCCACTTGGCTCGTTTCAGCTGGTCAACACCGAGTCTCCGATGAGAGGTACTTTGGCTACTTCAAAGAAGATTGTGTGAGAGTACTTATTCCTTACTGTGCTGATAGCTGATTTTGGCTTCTTGTGTAAAACAGAATTTTGTGCTAGGGCTATTGGTAGAATGTCCTTTACGGTGTAACCTGAAAATATTTAATGGTAATCATAATTACCAAGGTAGACACAGTACAGCAGATTAATTTACGGAGGCCCTGTCTCATCTATCACTGGCGCTAAGCAGATTGTAAGATGGGTTCCAGATGAAGAGTGGAGTATGGCAATGAAAATACATGATACAGTAGAAGTATTACATATTCATCGTTCGTAATGGTAAAGCGTGAGAATACCACGGCGCGGGGTCTAGTGACGACGTGTCTTTCGCTACCTGGCAGGCCGTAATTTTATTTGTCATTTAGTTTAATAAAAAATATATATGTATAACTATTTAAGATGAAAATAAAATATAGGATATAAAATATATTCTTCATAATTATTATGACTTCTACCGACTGTTCCTAGTTGCAGGCAGACTCAATATAAACTGTCCAAGCCTCGGTGAACGTAACTTCCACTTTTTGCTAGGAATATTTTTAAATTCAACGTTAAAGGAGGCGAACCTAAGCGTTTTGGATTAATAAAATTTATGTAACCGTAAAATAAGTAGAACGTTTAAATTAGCACAGAAAGTTTTTAATGTCTATTTCATGATAGTAAACCACTATATGCCGATACTCTTTGGTGGTATTAAAACATGTTTCTGCTATTTCCATATATCTTAGGAACTTTATATTGTCACACAAAGTTTTTGATAACCACTAATTATGATGATTTTTAAGGCCTATTTTGGGGTAGTAAATCTCTATGGTATTATAAGCATGCTGTATCTTACCTGTATAATACTGCAGCGTCGGTGTCCAATGTCCAATAGACTTCATCCTGAGCGCGAGGTATAGGGCGGCCGCTGCCATCTTGCTGTCCGAGTGCTCCAGGAGGCTGTACTCGAGCAGACATTGCTCCAGCACGAACCTCGCCAGTGTCAGTGTCGGCATCGATACACGGGCACACTGATTGAAAAGATGCAGATATAATATAAATATCTGTCTGTTGTAACTTAATACAGGATAATTAATAAACAGGTTTAATATAAAAGCCCCCTAACAACAGATTGAAATATGAAAATTAATAAAAAGAAAAGGTCAGTCAAATCTCAGAGCAAAGCAAATTAACATAGATACTTAATATGAAAACCCCTTAATAAATAATGTCGGTTACCAGAGGAGTATAGAGAGTAGAGTAGAGGATAAAGAAAACGGTGCAGTAAATTAAATGCTATTTTTTGGATTTAAAGATGAAGATTAACTAATTTTAAAGTATAAGTAGCCATCAAAAGTGAATTTCAAGTAGAGAAAATTCCTGAAATATATTTATTTAGACTGGCTTTTTAACATAATTGTTAACCTGACTGGATGACTGATTTTTCTAATAATCCAAAAGCCTTAGAAGGAGTAAACATATAGAAACTTAGAAACATTGAGATATGGTAAACAATTGATTATAAATAGTTCCTCTTGTAACTTAACATATTAACATTTAACAGTATGATCAAATTACCACTATAATGTTCTCTTAATTACATATTCATTTCATTTAATATCATTTTAATTATACCTATCTGGTTTTATCAACTTCGACTGTTTTGTTAGATAAAACATGTGAAAAATTACAAACTTCCAAAATCCACTGTATAGCTTTAACTTTAAGTACAATTTCACGAATTTTATATTTTATTTTATCCAGTGTGTGGTGTGGGATATGACTATCACTACATAGTATAAAACAAAGTCGCTGTCGCTGTCTGTCCGTCCCTATGTATGCTTAAATCTTTAAAATTACGCAAAAGATTTTGACGTGGTTTTTTTAATAGAGTGATTCAAGAGGAAGGCGAAGCCGGGGCGAGTAGCTAGTGGATAATAAATTATGGAATTTAGTGTACTTATCTAGAACATGTCTGTCAAGTTTACAATGCTTAGTCAATCACAATATTGAAATGTGACTGAGTTAACTGATAAATCTTACCCTGGCGTATCTTCTGAGGAACCGGTAAGAGAGTGGTATGCCGAGGTCGAAGTCCACCACTCGCAGTATGTTCATCTCCATTGTGAGCAGCTGGCTTAGTGTGTACGCCCCATCGCAGATGTATAAGAAGTCGTCCACTAGAGGAGGGATGCGCTCCTGTGTATAGCAACATAAATAATATAATAATCTGCACTAATATTATAATTTTGAAAAGTTCGTATGTTTGTTTGAACATTTTAATCTCTACTGGTTCGAATTGGAAAATTCGTTTCAATAATTTTTTTATGGATGATGATAATGGAATGCTGCACCCGGCTGCGCTAACGGTTTACGCTGGTTAATTACATCCATAATTTAGCTTTAAGCTCTATAACATTACGCCACGACCAATAGCAGCGGAGCTGCAATAAAAAATATTGCAAAATGTGGGAAATGAAACGCGAAGGAGGACGAAGTTGCGCAGGTCAGTTAGTCATTATATATCAGGGCAATTCACACAGCGCTTTCCAGTCTCAAGTTAAGCAAATCTTGCGTTATGGGTACTAGACAACTAATATAAATACAAAGATATTTTTTTAATACACACATGATATAATCGGAAAACACCTAGATGGGACAAGCTAAATATTATTAGACCAGGACCTAACAACTTCCATGGCACAATTGCTCACCTTTTCCAGGTCATCCTTAGGATAAGAGTTGTTAAGGCATATTATTGCTTCGATGATCTTGCGGTTTAGCACACCACCTTACATTCAATGATAGTGGGGTTTGATTGCTCGCAAAATACAAACATTTGTATTCACAAGTATCATTGTTTGAACAGTCTGTGTATTTGCTATGCATATTATGTATACCTATATTTAAAAAAAAGTATACAGTATCTGCATCAGTTGTTTAACACCCACAACATAAGCTTTGCTTAATTTGGGACTACATGATGCTGTGAATTGTCAAGGATTATTTTACTATTATTATTATAGGAGGAGATTAGAAGCACTTACATCAAACTTGGAAGCTATAAAAAGTGCCGACGCTCCAAGTAGTTGCAGCTCCTCCTTTGTCAGTTGGCTCTGTATTGGAAGAGTTTTCGATGATCGAGCCAGGAAAAGGTCCACTAGCTTCACGGCCAGGTATAATGTCTCGTGATTTAGCTCGAAGCTCTCCTGAACTTCAACCATCCAGTCAACAAGCAGTGCGCGCATCCAAGACGTGATTCCTTCCATTCTCAGTAGATAGTCATCAATGGGGAACAGGCGCTAAGGCAATAGTTTTGTATAACAATTAGGACAATTGGAATTATCAAACAATATACAAATACTTGTGAGAGAGATATTCGCAAATTAAACAAAAATGCCAACCAGAAATGTTTTAACCATAACAGAAAATATGGGGACCCACCCGGCCCTAGAAGCCATCCCGAATATACGCTTTTTTTTTTAAATGGATGACAGGGGAATGTTGTACCCGCTTGCACTAAAGGTATTTGCTGGCGCGGCACCAGTGAACGACGATAGGATGAGCATGAGGTCAATTTAGTTAGCTCATAGTGACGAAATCACCTGGTTTCCAGGGGGAACCAACATGGTACATTGCTAGCAATGGGGTTCTAGTCCCCATTACTAATAATCTCCCTTCCCACAATATTTGGTATTAGCTTGTGTGACAATATATTATATTTCTATTCTATAAAATGTATTAGTACTAAAAAATACATATAGCATAAATCTAAAAAGAAGTTGTAAAGCTTCCTTCAGAGACAAAGTAAAACAGTATTTAAAACAGTACTGATTATCATTACATACACATTACATTACATTTCATATTCAAATCATATTGAGAATAAGCAATTCATTCTGAATAATTGTTGGTCCTATCCTTTAAATACTAATAATTACAAATGTAATTAGGATGGAAAAGATTTTGCTTGGAAGCAAGCAGAAAATATAAAAATTTCAGAAATTACTTTAACTGATGTTATACTTTTAGAAATGTTTACTCAGAACTAAAAACGTTGAGATCTGAATAAAAATTATAATTCAATAAATAATAATTAGAAATCTTACCTCTCTACTCTTCAAATAGTTGAAAATGTCCATAGCATAATGAGACACTTGGAATGGATCGTTCCAGTTCTCTAGGTCAAAATCTACAACACCCGCAGGCGGCTTGTGTGGGGTCTCAGTTTCTTCATCCAAGGATTTGTTGTTGGTGTCATCCAAGTTTACTTTATCTAGCTTGTCGCTGATTGTCTTATATTCTTCTTTTGTAGTTTCAGATGGACTTCTAAAAGTAATGCATAAGTTATTTAGAATTTACAGGATTATAAAAATGTACTAGTTTTGGCCTACGGTTTCAGCCGCGCTAAATTTCAATATAAAATATAACCTGTGTTATTACTGTAAACTTTCATCAAAATCCGTTCAGTAGTTTTTGTATGAAAGACTAACAAACATTCATACTCATCAACTTCCACGTTTATAATATTAAGATTTACAGGATTATAAAAGTATAGATCAAGTGCTTAGTTCTTGAATACTTTTTTAAACTAATGTTTTATACTTCAACACAGAAATTATGTATATTATCTTATATATAAAATTCTTGTGTCACAGTTTTCGTTCCCATACTCCTCTGAAAAGGCTTGACCGATTCTCATGAAATTTTGTGAGCGTATTGAGTAGGTCTGAGAATCGGCCAACATCTATTTGTCATCCCCCTAAATGTTAGGGGTAGTCCACCCCTAATTTTTTTTTATTTTAAGGCAAAACAGGCCGGGACAGCTAGTTATTTACATAAATTTGAGTTGTGTGCCTGCAACTACATTTTTTTTTCAATCTTACATAGTTAGTGCAGCAAGCAGTGTTTATATACCCAGTACATTTAGAAACATTTAAAATACTATAGCTGACAAAAATGCTGACCACCTACCTGATGGTAAATGTAACAAATACCCATTGCCTATATACATGAACAGCATGCAACAATATCATGTGACATCCTTGATATCATAAATACCATTCAGAGGACTATATTGCATGAGCAGTGAGATTCCAGGATAAGCCTGGAATGTCACTGCTCATGCAATATAGGTTATAAAACTTGCTTTGCTTGGCAGCTAAAAGTAAGACTGAGGCACCCACACAGACAACTTTTTAATTAGACTATGGGGGGGAGGGGTGAAGGTGGTTATGGATTATTAGTAATGTGGACTGATGACTGAAATATAATGTTGGGCCACGTGGACGGTAGAAGGGGCAGAGGTAGAGCACCTGCACATTGGACTGATCCTGTATGAGAAGCAGTCAAACAAAATATACAGTCGGCGGTCCATTTAGCACAGGATAGAAACGCCTGGAGAGTATTGGTTGGAAAGAGCATTCCTGGTGGTCACGACCCTCAGTCTTGAGGAACCGACAAAGAAGGACTGATGACCCCACTTAGCAATGTACCAAGTCAGGTTGACCGCCATATGACTTCCTCTAGAAAGCATTCTGATAAATTACTGGTGAATTTGTCACAGTGGGCTAACTGACCTGCCCAGATGACATTCATGCACCTCATCTTATCACCCTCCATACCCTTAGGACTGGTAGGTGCACCATTCCATTATATTAAAATGAGTCTAGGTATACTTTGTAGTCTAGTTCAAGTATAGGTAAAGTAAATAAAAATACTAACATATTTTCCAATGCAGTCATATAAAGTGAAGGTTCAGAAATATCACTTCGTCCAGATTTCATTGAGTTTTGGCTGTTATTCTGATTCTCTTTACCAATGGATTTCTCTTTTCTTTCAATGTTCTTGAGTATGCCATTTTGGGCTCTAGTCGCTGTGGGCTTAGGAGGGTCTTTGGCAAAGTGTTTTTGTACGGATTCCAATGCATTTGTGGCCACCCTTTGCAGTTGCTTGGTTTTTGAAGGTTTCCCATTCAATATAGTAGTTGGTGGTTTGATACTCTAAAATAATAGAACTCAGTGAAAAAAAAATATTTCTAAGTGGTATTACTAATAGACTGTTTTTATATTAACATGTTTAGACTTAAAAATGTAAAATTACAACGACTATTTAAAAGAGCCACACACAAGTTTCTTGCTCATTCATCTTGTGATGAGACAGCTTTTGGAACGAGTGGTACATTCAAAGAAGGATAATTATGACTATACCAAAGTGTTTAAATTAAGTTTATTTGAATATATTATTTTTTAATAAATATAATATGGTTTTCACACACAGTGGTATTATTTAAGAATATTAAAAATATATATTTCTTCTTTTTGTAACTGTGAATATGTATATTTTATGCCATACATGACTCAGGAAGTATATTAAGGATATGTCCTATATAATCTATAAACCTTGTATAATAATATAAGCCATAAATTGTATTACTCACACAAAATATTAACCTTATATTTTTTTACATTTGCGATTACCACAGCTGTTTCTAACACAATCAGCTGAATAAGATAGTGAAATAAGACTTTATTATTTATATTTCCACAATTATAAATAAAAGTTTTATGTAATATAACACGAACAGCTATGAATTAAGAATTAGTATTAAATGGGTACCCTCATTTGCATTTATAACTAAAATACCATACTTATGGAGGTTATTAACCTTTAGTACTGGGAGCATTTTGCTTTCCACTGTCACCTTCTTCATCGGCATGATTTTGTCGTTGACTCCTGAAGACTTGTTGTATGCATTCGTGATGTCTCCGAACGCCGCCCTCTTCGCCATCGCATCCTTCAACGGACTATCCGCTTTTCTTTTATTAGGCACTTTCAAATTATCTTTGTGTGTCTTAAGAGAAGCCAACTGCTTGCTTCTAGTTGTGATACCATGGCTCAAGAAGTTATCATTGACGCCGATGGGCTTCGTTGCCAATCTGGTTGGCGCCATTATCTGTCTACTGCAACAAACAACGTTAACCTTAACTATTTAAACGTGGCGGTTGTCACTATTTAATATACACAATATTAAATAATTAATTCAGCTGAAATATAGTAGAAAATAATAGTTTTGAAAATGTCACGTCTAACGTCTAAAAATGGAGGCAAAACAAGCGAATGTTTGTACAGCGTCAATTGTCGTTTTGATTAATCAAATATTACTCACATTTATTACACGGCGAATGCCGTATTGCGATTATAGTTTGTCTACTTGAGTTGCACAGCCCGATTTTATCTAAAAATCTTTAAATTTTCAATACATTTAAAATAAAATATACTAAAACCGGACAGACACACAAAACGTTTTTAAAAAACCGTTGGCTTGATTACTTTACTATTCTATTGGCTATCTCAACAACCAATGAGGGCTCGTGTATGCTTTTGACATTTCATTCTATGCAAGAAACGAAAAGAAGTAGGGATATATTTTTAATTGCAACTTTGTAAATTAATGTAATATGTATATCGAATTATGAATATATATTTAATATTATTTTATTTATTCAGTACACCGGTATTATTCGAATTCCTGTATAACCAAACATGACCTATTTTTTTTAACGTGTAGAAAAACGAAATGTTCTCAATTCCAAGCTAAGCATAAATCATTTGTTTCATTTAATTAAAAAGCTTATCTTATTAATCTTAATCAATTATATTATTAATTAAATATTATGAAATTACATGAGAATTATTTATGTTTGCAATTTAAAATAATGGAAAGGTTTCTTTTAAAATTACTTATTAGTTTTTTTCATTAAACGAAAATGGAATATTATATGTCATGTCAAATGACAAGGACTGTCATTGTCACTTGTGTATTATCAGATTTCTTTATTTTATTTTTGTCTCCAACTATTGATAATGATAAAATGAAATAATCACTCTTCTTTTTTCCCGTGTATTTACTTAACATTTGAACATGTAATACGGTGTTATTATAATAATTAATACACCATTATCTTAGCTAATAAAAATGTTGGGAGGTGTAAGATTTAAAGTGATCTATACTCATGAAAAATCATGTTTCGCTTATATCAGTCCAAAGTACAGTACAAATAATGAACAGGTAAATATTTGGAATTATTATGAAACTATACAACGTATTGTTCCTAATTTATATCAGAAAAGTGCGGTTTATCCATGAATTTTTGAGCTTAGGTTGTGTTGTCAATATCTTTGTTTTCTGACCTCATACAAATAATATTATCAAACCAAGGTTTTAACCTTAAATTGATTTCTATAGCATGCAAGCTTAGAATATTCTCATATTAATGACAATAAATATAATATAAATATTATTTTTTTCTTTGCCCAATACTATATACAAAATAATTTTAATAAATTTTAAAGTAGACATATTAATTTAATATTGGATGCTAGATTACCGTACGGCATTAACCAGACTTGTATATTTTAAAATATAATAAATATTATAAAGACAAGTATTTTTTTTATTTATTGTTTGTGCAATAACTCATAAAGTCAGAAAATACTTCAACAATTTTTAACACATTAATACTACAGTAATAGACGGCCTATGTGATGTAGCAGTTCCAGCACAGTGCTTTTGCGATGGTTGCAGGTTCGATTTATCGCACAGTGCAAGCATTTGTATTCAGAAGTATAATTGTTTGTATCGGTCTGAGTGTTGTATAATATTGTATATTATATATGTATTTACAAATAAACACTTAGAATTCATATCAGTTGTCTCGTACCCATAACACTCTGCTTACCATGGGGACTAGATGGCATTGTATTAATTGTCCATGGTAACTTATTTATTTTTATATTTTTTAATTTTACAGACACAATGTGTACAGGTGATATCGAAAGGTAAACAATTATTGGTATGGGTGGTGTTTAACAGTACAATACCAGAAGGATGTATAGCCTTCAACCCGGTGTTTAGTAGACTGGTGGATGTGGCAGAGGGGTGTGATGTGTTTGCATCACCATACGGAGATGTTAAAGTGCTTGATGAACTGTACATAGACACTGACAGTCCTGATGACCAGGAAATCTTGGTAAATATATATAAATACTTAAGTTATTAAAGTTAGCAAAACATAACAAAGACTAGTTATTTAATGTTGTTTAGTGAATGAATATAATAACATAATTAAAATTTGCATGCCCATAAATTGGGGTCCCATCCCATAAACTGGTTAATAAACAGTTGTCAATAATAGTGCTACTGGACATATTAGCATCAAGTAACTGTTTACTGCATATGATTTATTTTATTAAGAAAAAACGATGAAATATTGTAAACACAAGATAAAAAATTATACGAGACATCAGAGGTACTATCAAATAGGTTTAAACTTTCCATTTATTTCCAGGAACACAATGTAGAACTTTTGCAATTGAGGATTTTAGATCAATTAAGAATTGTGGCTGTAAATCAAAAGGCAGTTGTATGGATATCTGCATCTTTACCTATTGTATTTACACCAAAGCAAACCGGCTTACTTGTTACTCATAGTAGGATTATAGTTAAAGTAGATGCTTTTAACAGCTTCTCAGGTATGTTACCGAATACCTCAATAGATGTGCCTGAAGAGAAATATATCGAGTTTAAAAATATAGGTCTTGTGCACGAGGGTATGCTTCGCCAGTATCTGAATGTACCAGAAAGATTAGTACTTAGAGCTGTTCCTATTGACAGTGATGGCAAAAAGAACCTTATACACCCATACACGGTGTTCATGCATGAAGATCTCTTAAATGATAAATATAAGAAGTACTCTGCAGTGTTAGCAACCATGAAGAATATACCGTTTCTAATAAAAGAGGATGATGATGATGATGGTGGTGAGAATGATAACAATCAGATTAATGATTTGTGTGTGGAAATAATTCTAATAAACAGCATCGTATTCAGAAGCCTATGTCATGAGGTCTACAATAAAAAAATACCAACTGTGCTTATACCAAAATCACTTAATGCAATTATTAATATAAAAAATGGCACCAGGATTATATTTACTATAATCGGAGATAATGTTGATCAACCAGATCATATAGATATCGTAACATATTCAGATGAAACTCAGACTGAAATTGATATTATAGAAAAGTTTAAAGACTGTGTTATACATACCACACACTCGGGTAAAAAGTTTTTAATCAATCACGACATGATCAAACAAAACATGCAGATCAGTTATGGATTCTTACAGTTTAAATTGAAGCCTGAGAGATTGAAATATACAATGTTGAATAATGATTCCTTCAGGCATTGCACCTTAGCTGTAAAGTGCTTGAGTGAGTCTGAGTTAGTGCTTCCCAAACCTTCCACTTCCAAAATTGAATATGATTACAAGAATTACTGTAGAACAATGAAATCAGTGGAGACTTTGGTAATGAAAATTGTGTCACATGTTTACTTTGAAATCCATAGAGAGGCTACTTTTAAAGGTGTATCAGAAATGAAGAGCAATGTTTTAGTAACAGGTCAGTATTTTATTTCAATTTACTATTGACACACTATGAATAGCATGTCATCATTAAATGATAGAAATAGAAATAGAAATAGATTTATATATATTAAAATGCTGCATACACTGTTAATTCATTGCTATATATAACACAAACTCTTAGAAAGATTGTGAGCATAGAACGGACAATATTTTGAACTTATGTTACATATAATAAAAGTTTAAATCTTTCAAGGCAAAACAACAAATCAACAAAGTACAAAATATTGTCTGTACTATGCTTATGATCTTACTAACATAAACACATGTTATAATACAAGCAGCTTTATATAGGCATAGTTTATATAATGTTTAATTCCATATATTGTTACTATTTCACATATTAAATTACGTTTAGTAGCTGTAATATATTTACTATGTATAATTACTCATAGTTAGGTACAGGGATAAAAGGTGGACTCACCAATTAACAAAATGGTTAGGACTGAGAGGCAAAAGGTGGGTAGAGAGATAGAGGAAAAGATGGTCTGTGGCCTTAAATATATAGTAGGAAAAAAACTGAGTGTGGGCATAAATAGGAAATTATGGAGCATGTTGAAAGAGGCTATTACCAATACAGATCCATATATAAAGAGACAAAACTAAATATACTATTATTTGTAATATAAACTGCTATTATATGGGAAATGAAGTTAAAATAAATCATGTCCCTATGAATGCTTAAATCTTTAAAACTATGCAAGCGGTTTTTTAATAGATAGAGTGATTCAAGATGAAGGTTTATTTGTATAATACATGTACACTCGGGCGAAGCCGGGGCGAGTAGCTAGTTATATATAATTACTTAGCATGAAATTTCTTATTTGACAGGTTTAAGTGGGTCAGGCAAGTCAAGTCTCTGCCATATAGTCCAAAAAGAGCTGACAGTTTGGTCTCATATTCTACACTGTAGACCCTTGAAGGGTCGGAAGGATATTCCGGAGGTGCTCAGCAAAGCAATTCTCATGTGTCAGGAGAGAAGCCCGGCCGTACTTATATGCGACGATGTCGATTCACTGGTGCCCCCCAACATGGAAGGTGCATCGCCGCAGGATATCGCTTATTATCAAAGGTATTACGGAATTTTACATTATACATTTGTTTAAATTTGCAATTCCACATGTAAATTGAAAGCGAAATGGAATTTTTATCAATGTTTCCGTAGCTAAACTTTCCGTCGTCTAGACACATATAAATAAAATTGGAGTGTCTGTTTGTAATATTGAAATAACCGTTTTTTACTATGTGCATATGAATATAAATACGGTATATACACCAATATAACATTTTTTATAATTTTTGTCTGTCTGTTCCGGCTAATCTCTGAAATGGCTGGCCTGATTTAGACGGGACTTTTATTGACAGGATTATTGATGTAGTAAGGAGTAACTTAGTCTACTTTTATTTTAGTAAAATAAAGATAATTTCCACGCGGACGAAGTCGCGGGCACAGCTAGTTCATAATAAATACCAACTCATACATTTAACCACTCCAGCGTTATATATATATTTTTTATATTAAATATATGTATCTACAAATGTATCCTTTTATAAATACACTAGCTACCCGCCCTGCCTTCGCATGGGTGTACATATATTATACATATATATAAAACTCTTGAATCACTCTATCTACTGTTTAAAACTGCATTATTTATGCGTAGCGTAGTTTAAAAGATCTAAGCAAACAGACAGCGAAAGCGACTACATATTATACTATGTAAAGCTTATCCCGTTATAGCTTTGTTACCAATTACAAACAAGCAAAGATTAAATAATATATCAAATAGTAGTTAAGTGTAGTGGAAGTAGGGCGATGTGTTATACCGCAAGACCACTAACACTGTTATAAATATATAAAATAACTAGGTGACCCACGCAACTTCGCCTGCATCACACTTGTATGATGTACAACATGTATTTATCATTACATATATGTCGCCCAATTTAAATAATATGTTTTAAAGTTATATTTATATATACAAATTATATGTCACGTTGTTTGTCCGCGATGGACTCCTAAACCAGTAAACTAATTACAAATTTAATTTGCACATTATGTCCAAATTGATACAACTTGAAAGATAGGATAGCTTACGTCTCAATTTATAATCGCAATATTATTTTATTAAAGAACCTTAGCCATAATAACGCGTGGCCTGGTCTGCTAGTAGCCTATATGTTATTCTGATATATAAACTATATTACTGTAACGTTTCATCGAAATCCGTTCAGTAGTTTTTGCGTTAAAGAGTAACAAACATCCATCTATTGAGTACAAACTATCGCGTTTTTAGGTTATTAGTAAGATATGTACAATACAATGCTCGGAGTTACTCTGCGTGATCGAATCAGAAATGATCCGCAGAAGAACCAGAGTGACCGACACAGCCCGAAGAATTGCGACTCTGAAGTGGCAATGGGCAGGGCACATAGCTCGTAGGACAGATGGCCGTTGGGGCAGTAAAGTCCTCGAGTGGCGACCATGGACCGGAAGACGCAGCGTGGGTAGGCCTCCAGCAGAGTGGACCGACGGTCTGGTCCAGATCCCTGGAAGGCATTGGATGTGAGCAGCGCAGGACTGATCGTCGTGGAGATCTTTGGGGGACGCCTATGTCCAGCAGTGGACGTCTTCCGGGCTACGATGATGATGATGATGATGATGTACAATAGTTTTCTGTTTGGAATATTGTATTTATTAATCAGCTTTATACATATATTGTTGTAGATTAGCAGTAGTAATAAAGCATTTACTGCAAACGTGTTCAGGAGTGTGTGTGCTCATGACCGCGGTCAGTATGAAGGTGCTACACCCGATATTGAGCCAGTTCAGTGGCAAACCATTGTTTACGTCGCATTTCAATATACCGGAGCTTGAGCAGGTGAATATGCACTATATATGAAATAGAAATAATTTTTATTCAAATAAATTTAAAAAACACTTTCGAACAGTCATATTTTATTATTCTACCGCTCATTCGGAACCCAGACTCGTCACAAGAAGAACAAGCAAGAAACTTGCGTTTCTACATATATAAGAAATAGAAATAGAAATAATCTTTATTCAAATAAACTCATTACAAGCACTTTTGAATAGTCATATATTGATTCTACCATTCATTCGGAATGCAGATTCATCACAAGAAGAATGAGCAAGAAACTTGTGTATTGATCTTTTGAATAGATGTTTTTTTTTATATAATAATTACAATATAATAATACACTAGCAGTATATAATAATAAGTCACTGAACGGGAAACTGCAAATTAAATCGATGCATCATAATGAGGCATTGCCTGCCACAGATTTATTTCGTTTTGTTTATTGTCTCATGTAAGATTAGAATTTAGAATAGTGTTTTTTGGCTATACTATCTAATTAAATTAAAATTCAAAAAGAAATTTTGATTTAAGTTGACGGGAATGAAATGGAAAAGTAAAAAAGGGTTGAAAGACGCTTTTTTTCAAAATAACTCGATAACGGTACGAAATATTATAAAATGTTTTAAATAAAAATTGTAGAGAAAAAAACCTGCACAAAACAAGTCCTCTACATTTTTTCATTATATATAAAAATTAAAAATAAATTAACTACAACTTACAGCTTAATGATCTGTAAAAGGGGAAACATGTGTAATAGTATTAGTACTTATCTGTGTAATGCGCGTACTGCATCATTCAGAGTTGACAACGAGCCAAATTAGTTTTAAATTTTTACTGGATATTACGTTGAGGATATTATATTATCGCATAGATCGTGGAATGCACTTGTTACATGTGTCTGTAATAGGCCTACCTGAATAAGGATATTTTAATTCGTTGATTAAATATATTTATTACAATTTGCAATTGATTATAAACAGGAAGAACGAACAGAGCTGTTCAAGCATCTCATTAACGACAAAATAAGGGAAGAATTTCAAGTGGAGGAGGACGACTTCATAAAATTGTCTATGGAGACCGCCGGCAGCACAGTCCGAGATATTACAGACTATCTCAATAAAAGAATATTTAAGGCGGTCAAAAAGAAAAGTAAGTAATAATAAAAAAAATGTAGTGGTACTTTATGAAAACGCAAAACGAATGTGAAGGATATACCCTCATAGAAACTACTATTCACTCTTTTTTAAGGAATATATCCTGAAAGGATTTCCTTAAATTTCCATTTACATGGGAAATAATGCGTTCCCGTGGTCAGGGCCGCGGTAAACAGATAGTAAATTAAAGAAACCGTAATAAATGGAAGTTGAGATTTAAAATTAGGAATGGAAACATTAAAAACTATGTTAATATATAGCCCCCGATAATTCATATAGCGCCATCTAGTCACAAGCTGAGCAGTGATTGTAATAACTGATTTAAATACCTAAAACTTAAATATATATTTTTTTATATAAATACATACACAATATATATATATGAAAATCACTCATACCAATAATAATAATTAATAATATGCGTAAATAACCAGCAAAAGCTGTGAAAATAAAGCATACTAATAATATATATATATATAATAAATAACAGGTTATCTATTATTATACAGCTCCATCTAGTCCCACGGTAAGCAGAGCTTGTGTTATGGGTACTAGACTAGTCAATTGATATAAATATTTAGGTTTTCTTTGTTAATACTTACATAATATAAATAAAAAACAACTAGACCGATACAAACAATTAGACTCATTAATACAAATATTTGCACCGTGTGAGGAAGTGAACCTGCGACCATTGGAAGTAAAGCAGTGTGCTAAACAATTTATATATCCGACAAGATTCATCCGAGAGACTTGCGCTGTGAAATGATGATGTAAATATGATTGGTACTTTGACAAATCTTTTGATACCACATGCAGAATAAAAGTCGTAAATGACTACTAAAGGTAAAATTAATATTTTTTATATTACAGAAGCGCGACCAGATGATCCAAAACCTCGTATCATTGAAGACACAAACAAGGATGAGGAGAAGGCAAAGGGTTTTGATATATGGGGTCCAGTTGGCGGATTGGATGACGTCAAGCAACAGCTAACAGAGTGCATATTCTGGCCTATCATGGTTTGTAAATTACTATAACTAAATGATTATGTCCCATTATATCCTTCAAGGACCAATATCATTTCCAGGTATTTGTGATTATCCTTTCAATTTCTTGTTATGTTTAATCATTTCATGCAATAAGTTGCCCTAAACATATGAAGTTATTAACATAATCTTTGGTCTTTGATTTATTTAGGGGTAGTAAAACAAATATAAACAATCGGTTATCTACGTCCGGCAGATGTCTAATGTCTGATTCACTTTTTCTCTAAAAGTTGTTTCTATAGAAAATAGCTTAAATTCATTGCGCTGACAATATTAACTGATTGCACTAGGAATGAGTGCTGAGCGGTTTCTATGTTGATTATCGCATGCCTCTTACTTGTTTTTGTGCAATTATTTCTATAAATTTACATTTATAATAACACACAAGTTTCTTGCTCATTCTTCTTGTGATGAGCTGCGTTCTGAATGAGTGGTCGAATAAAAAATATGACTATTCAAAATTGCTTGTATTGAGTTTATTTGAACAAAGAATATATCTATTTTATTTCTCAGTACCCGGCGCTGTTCCCGCGCGCATCTAGCGGCATACTGCTGTACGGTCCGCCGGGCTCCGGCAAGTCTCACATCGGGTCGTGCCTGGCGCGGCTCGCCGGCTTCACCATGCTCACCGTCAAGGGGCCCGAGCTGCTCTCCAAGTACATAGGGCAGAGCGAGAAGGCCGTCCGGGATATATTCGACAAGTCAGTGCTTGTTTTTATATTAATATAATATTAACTAACCCGGCATACGTTGTTTTGCTATATAAGTGAATATCGCTAGTAAAAATTAGGTTGATGGTAGATGGGAGTAAGTCGGCATTAATAAATACATACTGCAATGTATGTATTTTTTATGCCGAATCATAAAAAAAGAAACAAATTAATTTGTTCAAAAATGATTTTTTTTTCGGTTTGGTACACCCTTATTTCGTAGAGGTATGAGAAATATTTAATGTCCTATCAGACCTACTGAATACACACAAAATTTCATAAGAATGCCGCAAGCCGTTTCGGAGGAGATTTGTTGCAAACCTTTGACAAATTTTATGTATATACATAGTTACCTTTGAAGTTTTGTATATGAGTGAATATTATTTAAATAGTTTATATATTTGCAGGGCAGATATGAAGAGGCCGTCAATACTGTTCTTCGACGAGTTCGACAGTCTCGCGCCCAAGTAAGTGGATATATTGTAAGTACTAGCTTTTGTAAAGTGCATGCCATGATTACTTTTATTGTTATGTGTGCATATTGAGTAATTTATAATATTTGTCTTATAATTCATATTTTGTTGGTTTGATGACTTACGCGTCCGTGGTGATCCATCTTTATATAATACAAGATATTGGGACTATTTACTAGGAACCTCCTTATTACAATATTGACTTTTCTTATTCGGTTATTGTGGTGCACCAAGTTTGATCTTCTAGCTAGTCTAAGAGATCGTAACAATTTAGATAATTTGTTTCCCTAAATGGATCTCGATGACCTGATGATGCGCTCTCCTCAATATCTTCTCGGTGGTATATGACAATATACAACGATACGATTGGCCGGTGACTGCCGTGGTCCTTCGAGCCGGACGAGTGTAGCGCGTGTTTGTGCAGGCGCGGACACGACTCGACCGGCGTCACGGACCGCGTGGTGACGCAGCTGCTGGCCAGACTGGACGGCGCCGAGGGAGGCGCGCGCGGAGCAGTGGTCGCCGCCTCCTCGCGGCCCGACCTGCTCGACCCCGCGCTGCTGCGGCCCGGCCGCCTGCACACGCACCTCTACTGCGCGCTGCCCGACCAGGTACACACTACACGCACCTCTACTGCGCGCTGCCCGACCAGGTACACACTACACGCACCTCTACTGCGCGCTGCCCGACCAGGTACACACTACACGCACCTCTACTGCGCGCTGCCCGACCAGGTACACACACTACACGCACCTCTACTGCGCGCTGGTACACACTACTCTACTGCGCGCTGCCCGACCAGGTACACGCACCTCTACTGCGCGCTGCCCGACCAGGTACACACACCACTACTGCGCGCTGCCCGACCAGGTACACACTACACGCACCTCTACTGCGCGCTGCCCGACCAGGTACACACTACACGCACCTCTACTGCGCGCTGCCCGACCAGGTACACACTACACGCACCTCTACTGCGCGCTGCCCGACCAGGTACACACTACACGCACCTCTACTGCGCGCTGCCCGACCAGGTACACACTACACGCACCTCTACTGCGCGCTGCCCGACCAGGTACACACTACACGCACCTCTACTGCGCTCTGCCCGACCAGGTACACACAATATTTTAGATTCGAATCCGCTGCTTGATTTACAAATTTGTGGGTTTTGTGGGATCCCGTACCTCACGTTACTATAAACTATTTATTTTCACAGGACGGCCGCTACGAAGTCCTCAAAATCCTGACGAAGAGTGTTGCAGTAGACAAGGAAGTGAACCTACGGGATCTGGCTGATAACACGGACGGCTACTCGCCGGCTGACCTCAAGTCTTTATTAGTCACGGCGCAGTTGACTAGACTAGAAAAGGAATTGGTAAATAATAATTATATAAACCATATAAATAAATATATAATTATAGAAACTCATTAGTTATGGTTACCGTAAAGAACAACATTCTTTTCCAAAGACTTTATAATCTCGATGTTTGTTGTCTTTCTTTCTCAGGACAATTCACACAGCGCCATCTAGACCCAAGTTAAGCTAGCTAAAGCTTGTGTTATGGGTACTAGACAACTTTTTTTTCGTAAATACATACGTAATATACATAGAAAACACCCAGACCTATACAAACAATTATACTCATGAATACAAATGTTTGTGCCGTGCGAGAAATCGAATCCGCGACCATCGGACGTATGCGGTGTGCTAGACCGCTAGACCACCGAGGTCGTCAAAATCTTTGTATGTAGTGATGTGAAATTTAAACTAATTATATTGCTATTTGTGAAAGCTAGTCAGTGGCTTAGTTTGAGTTGTAGTTTTAAATTTAAATACAAATTTATAATAATAAATACATTTCTGATTATCCATTACAGTATACAAACATTTATTATCTAAATTGTGTTAACCTACATATATTAGTATAACCCTGGTTTTCCTATTATAAATAAATAAAACATTCGCAATATTTACAGACCAACACAGATGACAAGAGTATGGAGTCTGTGGTCGTCTTAAATGAGGATATACAAAGTGCCTTACAAGAAACGAAGCCCTCGCTATCCAAAGAGCAGAGATTATTCTACGATATGATGTGAGTAAACAATAATGTGTTAGAACAACCCATTGATATTCCATTCAAATAAAAAAAATATATATTTAATGTACAGCATTTTAGCAGCTTATGGACGTAAATTTTTGTATTAATATAGTTTCTCTACCGTCCATTTATGCCCATTACAAACATACACCACGTGTATTAGTAAAATATATATCTTATATATAAAATTCTCGTGTCACGGTTTTCGTTCCCATACTCCTCCGAAACGACTTGACCGATTCTCTGAGGTCTGAGAATCGGCCAACATCTATTTTTCATCCCCCTAAATGTTAGGGGTAGTCCACCTCTAATTTTTTTTTATTTTAAGGCAAAACAATGTTTGCCGGGACAGCTAGTTTCAGTATATATTTATTTCTTTTAAAATACTGGTAGTTGTACTACGGGTATTTCATTCTTAGCTTAGTTTGCTCCTACATACGAGTTGACTAGGAATATTTATTTATTTATTCTTTTCCACAGATACAAAAGATTCAGAGGCGAGAATCTGTCTCCAGAGCAGAAACTTATAGAGACGCAGATGCAGAAACAAAGAGTTACATTAGCATAAAAAATGGGTTTTAAATATTATTCATAAGGGACTGCGTAAATGGAGAATACACAGCGTTTGTAATTTTTTAATTTTGTTACAATAGAGTATATAATCTTGCGGGAGATAGCAGTAGCCTAGTGATATACCACACGGACAACGAAAGGTCTAGAGCAGTGATTCTTAAAGTGGTCTATATCGACTCCCAGGAGTCTATGACAAACTGCAAGGAGTCTACGCCAGCGGTCATCTTGTTTTTACTTTATGTTTTTAACACTAAAATTGATTACAGTTAGAAATTTACAAAAAATCAATACCAGGCAAGAATGGGGGTCTACGCAAAACCGAAAAATATGGCAAGTGGTCTACGACACAAAAAAGTTTGAGAACCTCTGGTCTAGAGTTTGTATTTGGCTGACACGAAAAAAATGCTTGTGTGTATTAATTTATATATTTTTTTAATTAATATTTCTGCCGGACTGTCCGATAACCCACAATGAATCCGAGTCAAGGCGATAGCCACAACAGGCAGCCAACAGCCAAAAGGGGAAAAATCGTTTTATCTTGAGACTCATCAATCACAGAGTAATTAATACTACTTTCAGAAGAATTCTCACCGCCCTTATGATAACTCACCGTCTTCCATATGTCACCTTTAAACAGAGAATTCCATTTGCCATATTTTAAAAATAAAATTCAGAATTATTCCTCTATCCACATATGTATTTCTAAAAGGAATCAATTCTTTAGTACACATAGTACAAGATTCTGTTTAATTCACTACCTAATGAACTAGATGGCGCTGTGTGGTACGTCCCGAGTTATTTACATATCAGTCTTAACTATTTTAGCCGCTGCTCAGCTTGCTTTGTATGTTGTGATACAGTTGTAGGGTGAGTTTGGCAGTAAAATTACATGATGACTTAGAGTCATGATATCCTAGTACTCTGGAATGGTAACGCATGAGTTATCACAGACGTCACATGATAACGTGATGTCCTTTGTGCTGATTATGTATATAGGCGAAGATTACTGGTGGTCCATCACCTAATTTGCCATTCCAATAGTCTAGAAAAAAAAACGCTTACTGGTGGTCTATGAGCTGATTTGCTAGAATAGTCTAGAAAAAAAAACAAAAAATACATTATATTTACCACATGTACAAGATTTACCAGTAATGGCACTTAACACGTTAAAGACCGATGCTCACCGGTGGGTCACTCCGCAACAAAGTAAATTTACACGTTGGGACCGGGTGATCACCCTGGGCACTTTAATTGAAATAAATCTAGGGGTCAAATAATGTCTACCTCAAATTATTGTTCACTAAAAACATATTTGAAAAATAATGTACGTAATTAACAATAAAATATGGAAAATGCCGGTGCCTATGTGAGAAATAAGATTTTTCAATTCGGTCATAAAATTTTTCAATTTCAAACACGTTGAATAATAAATAGCACGTTGTAAAGCATCACGCGTCTCTAATGAACGGATTGAAAATATGAATTGTATCTATTAATGTATAATAATAAATGAAAGGGTAGTTTATAAGTGCACATTTTGTTTTGTATATTATGTTGCTATTTTTGTATTTGTTTTTATTTATTGTTGAATATAAAAATATGGGATGTAAAAGATGTTTTTGTTTCATTTGACGTTTCACACTGGTCTTTTTTTACCTGTGGAAAATTTAAAAGACAGTCACCTCCGGCGGGGTGCTGGAGTGGTGTGGGTGATTTTTATATACTAAAAACCATACGATATACCTGTAAGCACCTTTATTCCCCCCTAGCTCAGGGCTGGGGGTTTCGTGTGTGCATTCCACCCTGGACACTAGTCTAGCGCAGAAATGATACGTCGATGTACTGGTATCTATTTGATTTTTATTTCCCTTTCAAATCATCATCATCATCATCATCATCGCAGCCCGGAAGACGTCCACTGCTGGACATAGGCCTCCCCCAAAGATCTTTCAAATCATAGTACACAGTAATTACGTAACTAAGTTATACACACTGGTAATCGTTTGGATGCCACGTCTGATCGTCTCGGCTGCCTTGTATAGAATGACTACCTTATTTCCATCAATTGCTGCTGGTCGCAGCTGGCCATTACAGCTTCACCGAAGGATAGAAGCCGAATGCAGATGGCACTCCAAACACGCGGGAGGACTTATGGAGCGGCTGAAGGACGCTTCCGCCCTGATGGATACGACTACAGTGTGAGGGTACCGCTAGGGATACCGTGATGATATTTTGAATTGAACGGGGAATCGATCGGAGGTTTTTTTTATTGAGGTTATTGAAATTTTGCATCCGCCTGCGCTAACGGTTTACGCTGGCGGGATGCCAGTGTAAGGTCAGGCCAGTTAGCCAATCGCGACAAATTCGCCAACAATTTATCATAATGGTTTCCAGGGGAACCGCCTGGCGGTCAACGTGACATGGTATATTGCTCGTCGATCGGAGAGTGATGCTTCTTCCTTTCCTCTTCCCTCCCGTTTTTATACCCTATGTATTCATTAATTTCATTCATCTATATAGCCTGGTGAGGTCAATTATTCCATCTTGGCAAATGATAATTTACCACGACGGTTTCCAAGGGGAACTGCGTGGAAATCAACCTTACATAGACCATTGTCAGCAATGGGGTTACCATTGGTCCATGTAAGTAGTCCCCATCCCACTTATAGATCAACGGTTACCGTTTGTCATTCTAATTACATAAAATATATTATAAAGGCTAAGTAATGAAGGCAAGTATGCCTTACACAAATGTTACTTAGGTATTAGAATATTGTCAGCTTAGTGTACTGTATTTAAATTTTTAAATAAATGAAATGCTAATTTGCTCTTCACATTTAATTAGGCCGTTCCCGCCATTTTTACAATCAGCCTCTGTCAAATGCACAGAGTACGTTATGAACAATATTAATTATGCCAAAGACTATATATACTACAATTAGATTGTATCCACTCCATCCATCCAATCTCCTGTGCAGTGTTAATTACTAGCTATTAGTCGGCCAGATAAAAGTTTGCCCATTACTGCTGGCTCCGCGTCGCTGCTCTGTTTCTCTACTTATCAGAAATTGGATGGGCTTATTGGCATAAACTCTAGAACGTCCATTACCGAAGTGTCTCTGAATTATCTATGGTAATTATCGAAAATAGATGTAGTTGTAGATATGACAAACTCTGTGGTCAGCTGTTTTGCACATCGCCTTAATTCCAATGGTCGCGGGTTCGATTTCTGGCGTTCTTCTAATATTTGTACTTATGAGTATGGGTGTTTTCTATGTAGTAAATATTTACAAAAAAATATGTATCTATGTATTTATATCAGTTGTCTAGTACCCATAACATAAGCTCTTATTAGATTAGAGCAAAATGGCGGGGTGTCCTGAGATATTATCTTCTATACATATACCTACATATGTAGGTAATGAAATTGTAAATAATCGTTTTATGTACATGAGAGATATCATGATAAAAACTATAAATAATTTTAATAGAACCTAAAATTTATAAATAATAATAAACGCATGAACAAAAATTCTAACAATACTTTGTGAAAATAGAGTGTAAAACCAGCGCTGCACATGAGTATCCTGTCGGTATACGCTAAACCAGGTTCTTTTGCCTTTAATAATGTACTTATTATTATTACATTTATTGTAATAATGGAACACTTCGAATATATTATTTGCTTAATATATATACTAGGTGTACACGCTGTTTCACCCCCATGAAATTTATAATCTATGTGTTATTCTGATGTATTAGGTACCTATTACTGTTAGTTTCATCAAAATCCGTTCAATAGTTTTTGCATGAAAGAGTACCTAACAAATAGCCATTCATACTCACAAACTTGTAGGTATAACAATATAATTTAACACTAGAAGACACGTATTCATTATCATTAACAATTTTTACTTTTTTATTTATCGACAATCCATAATTGTCGGCTTTGGATACATAGTCTAACAATATTTATCTCTTAATAAATTGTGCTTAATTAATAATATTTATATGGTTACATGCTTATTTGCTGGCTGTCAGATAAGCGTGTTTTATTGAAAAAGTTGAGCGCGCCCGTGCAGTTTTGATTAAGATTAGTACGCAACATGCACAATAATTTAGATTGAGCGGTGATTCGGAACGCGCTCGCGACGCGCCGCGGCGCGGCGGGAGTTGGGAGTACCGCGAAATTTCGCGGGCCACGGAATTAGAGCTGAATAAGTACTTGGCTGTCTAGATGTGACTTATAATGTGATTATTCACCTTCCGAATGTCATAGTTTTGATAAATAGAGCACTGTAGAAACATTTGGATAAATAGATAGGTACATGCTTCATTCATCAATTACAAATATATAGCATACAAGAGATACAAAAATATCAATTGTAGGTACATATTAAAATATGGAGGTTGATTTGTCGCAAAGATGAAGAGACAACTGACTCACCATATTTTCTATAAGCATTTCTGCTCTTAACTATCAACCACTGCTTTGCGTTTTGTTTGTACATAGGTGCAATTTTATCAAACAATAATCTATAAAAATTATTTATACATGCGACGTAAAATATACTATACTAGATAATATTACCTACATAATAGAACTTAATAATAAGGTAAACGAAGATGTCATTGACGAATTACTTTAATTTAAACATTTACTGTTTGAAAGATTATTTTACACTAGCTTTTGGCTTTTACACTGGCTTCGCGTTAATTTATCCCTTAGGGGTGCAATTTATCAAAATCCTTTCTTAGGGGATGCCTACGTCATAGTAGCTTTATGCATGCAAAGTCTCAGCCCGATCGGTTTAAAATGGACAAAGTTTCATATAAACTTTCATCCCCTATTTTATCCCTTTGGGGATAGAATTAATCAAAATCCTTTCTTAGCCTTTTCTCATAATATCTACCTGCATGGCAAATTTCAGTCCGATCCGTCTAGTGGTTTGGGCTGTGCGTTGATAGATCACTACGTAGTCACGTTTGAGTTATATATATTAAGATGTAAAATGGAAACCTATTATAATATATATAAAATATATTAGATATATGTATTGTCATTATTAATATTATAATAATCTTCATTATATAAGTCCATCTTAATTAATATATGTACATACTAAAATATAGGTATATATTGCATGTCGAATAGACTAAATGTCAAGACTACCATCAAGTACATCTCCGTCTGTACAATTACCACATTCATTGCAATAAATATGTTTTTAATTGATTTCGTATCCAGTAATTTCACTGCCATATCCAGTAAGAGCGCTCGCTTTATATCCTCGAGCAACATCTTCTAAAGTTGAGCGTTGGTTAATAGCTTAATACGATGTTGTAACAAGTCGTTTAATGAATTAAAGCTGAATTTATCGCCCGCCATTGCGTTGATTATATTTCACCAGCTCAGAACAGCTTGCAGGATGCCAGATAACACGCTACAAATCTACAGTGTGAAATTTATATAGATATCTAT